AAGCAATTAGATGGTAATTTAGCGTTAATTTGTAGTGTCTATAGTGGTTTTCATAAAACCGTGAAATTGCAATAGTCAAAGTGTAATAGTGTCTTCCACATCTAAAATCCAAAGAAAAACGAACAAGATATAGAGCAATAAAAAAAATTGATAAAAAAAAATTGATAAGCAATCAAAACCACTTTAAGCTTCACTTAAAGGATTGGATTATTTTTCAGCGATTTTCAAAGATCGATAAAAGAGGAAAGCTGCCGAAGTGGATACAGGTATAGGTTGGACATATTTGTAAACCCAAAAACATGTTACGCATCTTGGGTATTTTACGAGGGCTTGCCCCAGAGTATAAAAATGTTGTTTCAGTCTAGTCTGGTGATTAAGAGAGTTGTTAATTAGATTGATATATCTAGGCGAGCCGATAATTAGTTATCAAGTGAACATTTATCTTATCTCTGATGACAGGAATATCTCAAGGACTCGCTTTGTAATCTCTCCATCGATGAGGGAGTTCAGGTATTCAATAATGGTTCTTTGTTTTGTTTTATTCTGTTTTGTTTTAGCTCGTTTTTTATTCCATTGTGTTTTTATTCATTTATTCATTTTATTCCTATTTTATTCAATTTTTTTTCATTTGATCATGCTATCATTCATTATCTCGTCCATTTTTTATTTTTTCGTTCTTTCATTCCTGTTTTCTTTGAAATTACCGTTGCATTCATTCATTCATTMCCTATACCCATGGACATTCAATCCAGTCTCATTTATTCACTTCTTTTCTTTATTTATTCACAAATCAATCAATCCATCCAATGATTCTTTCCTCCCATTTATTAATCCTATTTCTGACTGCAGATCAGCAAACGATTTCTACGACAGATGGCTCAGCCGTTTGACAGAGTAAGCTCATCTTTGATTTATTCGGCACACTAAACCATTCTTATTCGTTCACTAATTCATATGTTATACAATTTCTGTTGGTATATTTTTAGGAGGATCAGCTTGGTCTGTCGCTTCTGACTGTAGAACAAGTCCAGTCTGAAGAATTCCAAAAGCGAATCATCCAGTCAGCAATGGCCTAACTCTCCTTTAAAAGCACAKGCAKCCCATCCAATCAGATATTGCTTGACTCTCATCCCAAATTCTCTAATCTCGATGTAGACTTGGAAGTTGATAAAGACAAACGTGACGGAGTGCGTACAYGAAGGCGAGTTGCAATGATTCGGAAGAAATTGTATGCTCTTTTTGTAAGAACAGGCTACTGGAACGGTGTTGCTGTTATCACAATGCCATGATTTTGAGGTTGTTGTTATCGTAGGCAGATTGAACACGAAAATGTTAACATTTTTCACATAAACATGTAATTCAGGGCGGTCTCCCTTCATCAAATGGCTGACCATAATTCATGCGGCGTTTGCAATAGTGCTCAAGTACGGGAATACATGTGAATACTTCACTTTTTTAAGTGAGCAATCTGGATTTTGAGCACAAGATACGTGTTCAAGTAATGACACGACTATAATAAACTAAATTTTTCAATTCAGCCTAAATACGTTCTTGTATAACTTTGAAACAAACTTAGGATGCCAAGGTTGTTAAAGTAGGTTCTTGTATTTTCATATACATTACTGTATAAGGTCTACGCCTTCTTTCAGGAACCAATTTCAATTCCGGAACTTATTCGATAGAGTGAAGAAGCGTTAGTTTTTATCTCATTCTTGGGAAATGTTTCCAAATCACCAAGAATTGTTGCGAATTTGTACGCTGCAAAGCGTTTATAACTAGCAACCAGAACGTTTGGTTGCCAATTAGCTTCTTTTAATTCGTCTTGTAATGGAGGCGAATAAGAGCTCTGCTTTCCGCCGATATTACGGTGGCACACCCATATTTCATTCAAATCATTCTTATCCTTGTCTTAAATAAGTATCTTCTATATTTTACACTCGTTTTCCATGAATCAACCTCATTCTTGTTCAGCGGCCATGTGGGAATTAAATCTGCGACTCTCTGAAATCCCTTCATGTGACCAACCCGATATAAATGCGCATGCGCAGTGCTAGCAAGCCCTAATATTTCTTCAAATCCTTGACGATAACGTCCAATTGCCATTACGTAAATCTGTATTCCATTTGCCTTGAGTCTAAATCCCTGAAACAACGTTAAATGATGTTTTACGTTTGATAATCCGTCTGTAATAAGAAAAATACGCCGCACACTTCCGTAGCGAATATTCGAGGAATTACTACGTATGAGATCGTACCACGCCATACGTAAAGCAGCCTGCGTATTGGTGCGTCCACGACGATGTTTAATATTTCTAAGCAACAGCTTTGCGATCTTTTTATTAACAAAACGGAACTCCAGTCTCGCGTCGCTAGCAAACGTAATGGCCGAGTAGTAAGAGTCGGGRTGSCCYCGGTCGATTAATTTCTGGAGAGCTTGAATCCCTCGCTTGAAATTTCTCCGATTGACTGACGACGAGGAATCGATTATAAAAATGGTGTCGTAGAATTGTGCGTATTCCACTGAAGGATAGGATCTCTTGGTGATTTTTCGTCCTTTAATGTTAGCGCCTACGGGAACTATACGTTTTAGGAAGTATTTTGTCAACCTTGCTGCGGTCTGTTGTCTAGGAGGAATGTTGTAAACATCTGAAACACAATCATTTGTACATGAATAAAAATTCGTGAGAAAATACTGATTCATCCCAAAATGATCGAAACTCTTTCAACTTAGGGCGCTTTCCATATATCATTCCTATTTAGTTATAAATTATATCCATTCTAAAGAAAACCTCGAATGATTCAAAAAGTGTTGACAAAAATCATTTATATACCTCTACATAGAGCGGACTCACTGTCCCGCCAGTTCTGCCTAAAGGGAACGCACCCTTTAAACAACTGGATTCATTTCTTACCGACCTACACTAGATATATGGAACCCAGAGTCATAGCGGGGAATCGAGCCCATAGAAATCCTTACCGTTTGTGACAAGCCTGCTAATCATTTAACGCGAGATACAACATATTTTGTAGATCATGATCTTTCTAAAGTTTTTACATTAACTACTCAATGAATAAAATGATACAAAGATATAAAGTAATCTAGAAAAACTAAGATAAACATACGATGTGCTTAAAGTGCATTTATGCCCTTAGATTATCAAACATAATTTATAGAAAAGTTTAAAAGGTATAGTCCAGCTTAAAGTTCAAAATGCTGAGCCGGATCGCAGAGTATCCATTTATTGGTGTGAGGGAAATATTTTATTTCCTAAAGGTCAGTTTTGCGCAGTCAAAGAAAGTGTTTCCTGATCTCGACAGAAATGAAATCTTCCAAAATAGCAGCCAAATTATTCGGGCGTACACGCGGCTGTAGGCCTAACCTATAGCCCTCGCCACTCCATGAAATAAGGCCATTCCTGATGGAGTTTTAAATGAAACGGTGATAATTAAAAACATCTTAAAGTCCTGCTTAGAATGGCCATCGCGAGTTGATACGTTTTTAAATCCCTGGAATGGAGAGAACGTTTTGAGTGAAAACCTCTTGAAAATAGGCGGAGAACACCTGGAAAACTCCTTGAATCTGATGCAAACTTTATGCTATTCTTGACTTTCCAATTAAAACCTCTTCATATTGTGATAAAAGTTAAGCACGAAACCTTTAACCGATTGATGGTTTTCAACCATTCCCTGGAGAGAAAGTTGAACAAAAGATGTCTGCCATTGCTGGTGGACCTGACAAAAGAAAACCACCACCGTGACTGGTGGACCTTTTTGTTTTGCTCACTCTCATGGGAATGGTTGAAAACCATCAATTGTACGAAGATTTGATAGTGCAATCTAGTGGATTAAACCCTTTTACATCACTTAAAATCCATGCAAAATTAAATCTGGAGTGGATAACGCTATGTGGTGGAAAACTAACTTCGCCCTTCGTACAGCCTGCCCCTTGTGGTTTATTTCTGGTTCAGTGAAATGCAAACTTGACCTCCAAGTCTTGTTTTGCTTACCATATGCCACTCTAATTTATCTAATGAACATTTTCTAATATGGCCTCAAGGGCTTTAGGTTATAATACATACAACATGGGCGGCCCCTGGGAATATCGTTTATTAGAACACGTTTTTCAGCTGAAAAGTGTTCTTAGCGTAACCTGTTAACACATTCAGTGTGTGAATTAACGATACTAGCTGTGATTTTTGGAAAAACTTAATGTTATATGAAATTACCTCTTATTTCCACTATATGCAGAAACCTCGAATGTGCTATTTTCACTAGTGAAAAATAAATTTGCGAAATGGAGAAATATAGGTATTTCATAGATAATTATATATGTTATAACGAAGAATGTTGGATGAGCCTACACCATTTAACATTATTGGACATTGTAACATTGTTGGATGGTGGGACAAGTGTTCAAATGGCTCAAAGCAATTTCACAAAATAAATGACCAAGAAACTATATAAATGTTTGTTGTGATCGCTCAAAAAACAGAATATATAAATTGTTGGATGTTATTTGATAAAATATCAGTGATGTCTGATCCGATATATTTGATGTTCTGTCCGAGCGCATCCAACATTTTTTTATCGCCGAAAAATGTTGGATTGTCAGCATAGACATTGTTTTATTATCCTGCATGCATTTTTCATTTGAGCACAGGACCTGGCCTGTCACTTTCGCGATCTTGTAAACTGATATACTTAAGCAGCAACGTCTAGAAGTCTCAGGCTTAGATTGGTATAGTTTCGGTCTGTTAACGAATACACAACTATTTATTACAATTTGCATTATTGTTCAAGAACCATCTAATGTCTCGATCCAAGCTCCTACAAAGGTCGTTTAATCAACGTGCACTGAGTCTCGCAAGGATCAACTATCTACCACACCCAAAGAACATCCGTGCAGGCAAAGTTCATCGGGGTTATCTTGATTGCACTTTTCTCATTGCTTATTGAAGTACAAGTCTATAAAATTGTAATTTTCATAATGTGCTGTCAGCACTATTGTTGGATGGTTGTTGATATTGGACGAATTGTTCATGCGAAATACATTTGCACACGAGGAATTAGATTAATTAACCTTCTGCCTGCTGCCATTAAATTTTACATACAACATGTGAAAATGCAAAATATTACCACTGCCCGATAGCTATTCTAATAAGTTCATTAAGTTCTGTACAATTCCATTAGTTTTTTCGTTGTTTTATTAGTAAATCATACCATATTTTACTCAGAATAACGTTATTTAACCCGCCAAGAAAAGTGTACAAGTCAAAGGTTTAATACGTGTAATGTTTAGACACAAAGAAAACATTGTAAAGACATTTAAAAGTACATAGGAAGTCTGTTATCTAAAGAGTTTATATAATAACTTCACTCATTGTTCCACTTCACGACTTTGTACTGATATAATTGCCTTCATTGTTAAAATTCTAAACTACTTTTCGCAAACTCTTCGAATTAACTAGCACAATTAATCCCTGTGTGGACCTAAGTATTTCAGTATAAATATTTTTGTGTTGGCTTACTTTTGAAGTACTTGTCAACATAGGCCATCAGTTGTGAACGGCTTTGCCAGACGTAACAGTTGCCATTATACGTAAGAATTCCAAAAACAATCACCCAAACCGCTATTGAAGCCATCTTGATGTTAATGGCGTCGACTGTATGTTAAGAGTGCTCGCTACTTGTTCCTATCAAAGTAGCTTTACTAGTGTCGCTTGAAAGGTATATTTGCGAGATAAGTGTCATTTTTTTATAGACGTATGCCTTTCTCGTTGTTGATTGGCCAATATCGGTCACTGAGCGCTTCAAATGTATTGCGATATGCAAATGAGTTGTTATTGCGACTTGTAATGGAAAGACGTGACGACTGACTTGCACTACAATTAACTTAACGATCCTGAAATTAAGAATTTTTGTTACGACAAGGCTAAGAAACAATATGGCATGCTTTGTTATTGCCTACTAGGAGTAGTGTGAAAGTAAATTTGCTTTGGATACACAATATGTGCAAAACAGACGAACATTTATCTACACCTTTCAGACATTGAGACTTTGACATTTTTTCCAGTAGCACAAGTCATGTTTTCGGGTTATAAGTGTTTTCCCTGAGATATCAATAGTCAACTTTAGATATTTTGGTTCGATGACTATGTACAAAATAACGCACACGAGGCTCCGGGGAAACAATGGATAATCTTGATTTATTCTTTTATTTCCCCGGAGCCTCGTCTGCAATTCTTTTGTGCATGGTCACTGAACCAAAATATCTAAAGTCGACTATTGTCCATCCAATTTATTAGTGTCTGTAATTCAAGGCATGTAATCTTATGAACATGACGTGAACTTGGCCATATCAAAACATCTGGACCGACCTTCTTTAGTGTCGAATATTTTTTTAGTGCCCGCTGTTTATAGGGCTTCATTGAATTAAATTTAAACCTTTGGTCAGACCTCTTAAAAGAGAGACTGGGTTGTTAATACAAAAGACCCTTTCTTTTTGATTTAAATCTGAAGCCGCTTTTTTAATTGCAAGTCCCCCAAAGCTCTCAGGCAAAAAAAAATGTACAATTAAAATGCGCAACACATATATATGGTTTATATTAAATACATAAGTGCGCTTTCAGTCTTAGCGTGTTTGTTAAAGTTTCAAACCAATCTTTATGGGTTAATTGCTACGATTTTCAAAACATTTCACACAAAAAAAATGTCCGCCATTTTGAATTTCGAGAGGGGACTGGATACCGATTTACTGCAAAACTGACTATATACAAAAAATAATGATTCAAACTTACAATAATTGTTTATAATGCGAAAAAAAACATTGCTTGATTTTCATACCACAATAAGCTCGATCTTGGCAGGCTACAAAATTTTAAGTGTTTAAGCCTTTCGTCTGGTTTTACTCGGTTATCCAATATGATCGTCAATACGTCATTATCTAAATCTCTTTCTAGATAAAGTATTATAAATTCCACTTGTCGCTGCGATTATCTAAAGATTGCCTATTGTGATGAAATAGTTTTGTCAGCTGAAATATGTATTCAGAGGGAATTAGCTGTAAATAGAAGACAGAATAGAAGACAGAGGATCTACTTCGCTATTATATGGTATACGCTACTTGTATGGCTTGGAAAGAACATTGAGATTGCTAATAACTAGTGGGCTGGCGTCTTCATATGCATGTACATAGACTATCGTGCATTAACTCTTTTTTTAACATCTAGCATATTCATTTGCAATATATACTTTACTAAATACAGCCTTTTGCAAAAATTATGAGAATTGTCTAAATATCTAAATATCATAATATCCATATCCACATATTGTCCGGAACACGAGGGTTTACTAGAATAATTCATTGTTTACATCGAGAAAATGTTCAGAACTACGGATAAGTCTGCCGCCAAAAAAACTAAACAACAAAGACAAGGGACTAAGGCCATCGCGCGGGATCATGCAACTTGATATTATGATATTTAGATATTTCAACAATTCTCATAATTTTTGCAAAAGGCTGTATTATTATTAGTATGTAAATCTCTATATATATTATTAAGAAACTTGCAGGCTTAATGCTGCAAACTTTTAAATATTCAAAGAGACCAGAGTTTCATATATTCGAATCATTTAGCTTTCCCATGACAGCTATTGTGTAGCGCCAAGTAATATTCGACGTGAGTCAATGGAATAATTATATTGAATACATGCTTTGTTTTCAAACCCAACTCTTGCATTTCGTCCGCCATTTTGTCATAGCGCCTTTACAAATAATCCTCATTGTTTGCACTCATTTTCTTCTTATATTTTTCATTTATTTAAACACAGGCGGTATATAATTGAGCTCATATTGTATGAGCCGTGCCCAATCACAAAGAGTTTACTCTGAGTATACTGATTTCCCTGCTTTATATCGTCATTGCTTTTTTTTTCATTCCTATAATTAATCTTACTTTAAGTCTCCTTTGCCACGCGTGTGGTGACCCATAAAGTAAGGTGAGCGCGCTCAATGTCAAAAACAAAACTATACATTCGATAATCGTTGTAACAATACACTCTGTAAGGTAGCTTACATCGTAGTTCGGTTCTATCTACAAGAAAATATATTGGAAATGGCGTACTTCCCCCTATTCTTCTGGTGTATCTAATGTTATAGTTAAGCCCCAGGATCTTGGTTGACATAAGTAAGTACGTGAACTCTCACCTTACGGACACCCCGCTATAACGGACACCTCGATATTACGGACACGAAATACTGAATCCCCGGAGGAAAATACAAAGAAATGACAGAAAGTAACTCCCGTTATTATACGGACTCTCGCTACTTCGGACACTTAATTACGGTCCCGATGGTGTCCGTAATAGCGAGGGTTGGCTGTATATATAACAACAGCTCTAGCCAAAGCCTAGAAAAAAATCTTATGAAACTCGTATTAAGATAATTGAAAAGAGGACTACGCGTGATTACTTGTCATGCATTTATTTTAATTCAACTTCAGTATTTACTATACATTCTCAAACTATTCGGAATTTTTTATTAGAAATTCTACATCCAGCAACATCAAGACATCTGAATCTTTAGCTTTGAAAATATAATCCAAAAATAGTTTGCTCTTTTAAAATACGTTATGCTAATGTTTGTGTTTTCTAAGATGTTCTTCATCTTATACCTATCAGAAACTTTGGGGCCAGACTCCCTGCTGCATTTCACTCATTACATTATTCACTTGTTACAGAGATTCCTTTATAGTTTTTGCAATTAAATTGTGTGTGGAAGACTTGTATATCGTCTGTGCATTCTCAAAATTTCAACTCTATCATTTAGTCAATACAGTAATTACAGAAAAAATGTACACTACTGTTAGAACACAGCTCTGCCATTTGATGAAATAACAAAGAGAGGCATTCAATACAAGAAAAGAAAGATGTCCAGTAGAACAGTTAAACATTATCCTACAATTCTTTGTTTTGTTGTCTCGATCAATCGCAAGCTTCGTTCTGACAGTAGTGGTCAACCCTTACAGTATATAAGGCTTGGAAAATTTCCCATACTATCAGCTTTCGCCTTACACAGACTTTCGATACAGCGAACACCACCGTGTCACGGACACCTCATTAGACTATATACACATCAAAGAAGTTATACTGAAGGCAAAACACTTTAGAGTGGACACTCTTTGATGCGGGCACCAGATTATAACCGAGACTTGACTATAAAGAAGGTCATGCCAGGAGTAGCCGCTTCTGTCCTGTGTTTCAATGGTCTGTCGTCTCTCTGTCATTTCTTATTTTATTCATTACCACATCGAAAACAGTCCATCTTCGTGGTAATAAATGGAATTATACCAGGAAGGATTGGTCATTGGCATTGCTATACATAGAAAAATAACCAGGCCAAGCACAAACGATCCTGAAATTACTATAGAAAACGACTAGAATTAGAATATTTGGACCACAGAGGTGAACCTGAGACTTGTACCCAGTCCTCACTCTTTTTTCACCGCGCACAAAGTGGTTGATGGGACGTTTTACCTTCCCTTGGTGCAACGCGAGCTGCTTAACCCTTCCCATAAATCATTTCGAACTGAGTACTGGTTGTAGCACAAGTCTTATTAAATATGAATATTTTCCTCCCCATTCGTATTTTATGAAGCGGATTAAAGATGTCAGTGTGGTGGCCATTGCAAATGATACGCTAACCTGCCAATCAACACATCGGTTTTATTCAAAATATACCAAATCCCAATTATCCAATCAGTGCAAGCGTCATATTCGAAGCATTTCTTGCAGTCAATACGCTCTCGTCCCTTTAAAGTTGATTGGCTCAATAGACGTCACGTGATGATTATACTTACGATATGGATACTTTGAATGAGGCACTTCGTCAAGAGGTGGGAATCCCATGAAATTACAAAAACTATGACAAATTACTGGTCCAGCTAGATTACCTGTAAGAATTGACACCATTGTTTTGAATAAGAAATTCAATCGTAGTTAGTAATAAATGCCATTTTTTGGGTATATTTTAAGTCGCTCCACTCTTCCCATAGTCTCCTACGCAGCCTCCCCTTTTGTCGGGCTTCCTGTGTCCCTCCCTCTTTTGGAACAGGAAGCCCGACAAAATGATATGCTGCGAAGGAGACTACTCTTCCCATACTAAAGGACTACTTTGATGGTGTGGCGGCCAATTTTATATATGACATCTGAAATGTCACTCAAAAAATGATTCAGGCTAAAATCGATTATTAAGTTGATATTCGTAATAATAACTGATTTAATTTTCAGTGATAAATTCTCACCTGTTCTGACAAATAAGAACGCAGAGTAGGCACCAAAGATTGTTGTGTAGCCAAACTGGAACACTGTTTAAAAAAGTTAGCATTAGCTTATAAATATACATACAGAAATAATGCGAATGAAAAGACAAAAGGAAGATCATGTTTGATGGCATTCCTTTGTCTTTTCTTTCGTTCTCGACTTCTCTTTCTGCTTGTATCGTGGTGAAACCCAGCCCTAAACCTTATAGTGTATCTAATGTTTGATATTTTCTCTCTTCGCTATTGTTTTTGTGCCAACAAAAAAAAATAGCGAAAAAAATAGCGAAGAGAGAGAATATCAAACCTCTGGAACCGGGGTAATATAAACCTACAAGTTGTCAGTTCCTTAGTTCTATCCTTGCTCCGGCCTCCTGACTCCCGAGTACATTCTTCTAATTCGACAATCCAATCCAAGATGGCGGTCTTTTTTACCGCAAAAGCCTTTACAATGTTTTATCCTAATAATGCAATGGTACAAGACCGCAAAATGTAACGAGTACCAAGCACATGGAAATAATATGCATCAACAGTTCATATAAAAGGGTAAAGTTCAGTAGTCAAGTTCCAAGCATGTGTGTTTAATGAAATAACATACTGCGAATAACAAAATAGAAAGCCGTTATTAAGTACATAGGACAATGTTTTGGCGCAAAAATGAAGCTGCTTACTTCGCCATAGTGTTGTAATTAACCGAAATTATGTACTTTGTTACCGTAATAAAAACATGATTTGAGAAAACATTTGGTCATGATCTTTCGATTCATGTGGTGGCTCCTAAAAGAGCCGTTGTTTTGTAAGCAAACAGWAAACTGTTTACTTGCTGCTGGTGTACTTGGTGACRGCCTTGGTGCCTTCACTGACGGCGTGCTTGGCTAATTCACCGGGAAGAAGAAGACGAACAGCGGTCTGGATCTCACGAGATGTGATSGTTGACTTCTTGTTGTAGTGAGCGAGGCGGGAAGCTTCACCAGCGATGCGCTCGAAGACATCCTGAACAAAGGAGTTCATGATGGACATGGCTTTGCTTGAGATACCAGTGTCGGGATGGACTTGTTTCATGACTTTGTAGATGTAGATGGAGTAGGTTTCCTTTCTTCTTCGTGACCTCTTCTTCTTGTCACCAAGCGCGGCCTTYTTRCCGGCTTTCTTTTCACCTTTCTTTCCTCCAGCGGGTTTTGGCGGCATTTTCTTGTTAGCTACTTTGTAGATTATCACAATCGAATGATGGTGACTCTCAGGGAAAACTCGTATTTATATGTAATTCTGACAGGATTAATTATTATGCGGATCACCAATACRCAAACATGATTGGTGGAAATAACATGCAAATGATCTTCATTCAAACTAATGACCTTTGCTCTTCARATCTGGTTTTTGATTGGTGGATTTCGATCCTTTTCAATTCAAGCTCTCGGTATAAAATCTTTGAGCAAAGTTTCCTGTCATCATATTTTGAACTATTATTCAAAAGATAACTACAAGTCAAAATGTCTGGCCGTGGAAAAGGTAAAGCTAAGGGCACCAAGTCCAAGACTCGATCATCCCGTGCAGGGCTTCAGTTCCCAGTCGGTCGTATCCATCGTCATCTCCGCAAAGGCAACTACGCTGCGAGAGTTGGTGCTGGTGCTCCAGTCTACTTGGCTGCTGTTCTCGAGTATTTGAGCGCCGAAATTCTCGAGTTGGCCGGCAACGCTGCCCGTGACAACAAGAAGACCAGAATCATCCCTCGTCACTTGCAGTTGGCTGTCAGAAATGACGAGGAGTTGAACAAACTTCTTGGTGGTGTCACCATTGCTCAAGGTGGTGTTCTTCCCAACATCCAGGCCGTCCTTTTACCTAAGAAGGCTGAGAAGAAATCATCTTAAGCAGTTTACTGCTAAACAAAACAACGGCTCTTTTAGGAGCCACCACATGAATCGAAAGATCATGACCAAATGCTTTGATTGATGTAATAATACTGTACTTAGCTGAGACACTATGGCGCAAAGTTTTACAAATAAAGCCAGCAAGTAATAGATTTCGCACTGGAATTGCTTATTCTTAATTAGGCATTCTGATTTAAAATAAAAGCGCTGTTGAGTGACTAAAAAGCTTACACGCAGTTCGTTTCGTGTCAGATGCAGCATTCGTTACCTAAATGGTTCACATGATGTCAGACCGCGCGATAGAGTAGCTGTTCGACTTTTTCAGATTGCTAAGTAGGTAAAATGAGTTTTATTTGCAAATCCTTTCTTACAAGAATAAACATTAGTAAGTGCTAAATAAGAGGGAAGCCTTCTCTAAGTTATATTTTGGCGCGCAGTTTATAAATAAGCATTCTTATGGTACGCTGAATAAAGGAAGCCGCGCGTTGTTTGCTCACTCCCGCGCAAAATAACGGAACAAGGACACAAAATAAAATACATTTGTCAAACGCTCGACTTAATATCGTATGTACATGCAGTAGATTCTATTACATAGAGGATATTACATGGGCGCTCGGAGATACGGATTTTATCTTCGAGTGTTGAAAAGATCTCTCACGAGTGAGCGTAGCGAACGAGTGAGAGATTTTCAACACGAGAAGATAAAATTCGTATCTCCAAGCGACCATGTAATATTCTGTTTATCATATACTACATATATTACATTTGAAAGCAAATTATGCCGTAAAATAGCTTTTTTCTTACTTTCACTATAAAGAGAAACCTCGAATGTGTTATTTTCATTAGTGCAAATAACATGTTATTTTCACTAGTGAAGATATCAACTTTACGAAATGGAGAAATATAGGTATTTCATAGATAATTATATGATAAATTTCTTTAATCAACTGTATTGGGACAAGTCAGAGGATGGGCTTTTCATTTGATTTTGATTCTGCATTATGTCATTGATTTTATATCATGTGGTGGCTCCTAAAAGAGCCGTTGTTTATTCGATGATCAAGTCATCTAACCACCAAATCCGTACAGAGTACGTCCTTGGCGTTTCAAAGCGTAGACGACATCCATGGCAGTGACGGTCTTTCTCTTGGCGTGCTCGGTGTAGGTGACAGCATCACGGATCACGTTCTCAAGGAAAACTTTAAGGACGCCTCGGGTCTCTTCGTAGATCAAGCCAGAAATACGCTTGACTCCACCACGACGAGCAAGACGACGGATGGCGGGCTTGGTAATTCCCTGGATGTTATCCCGAAGGATCTTACGATGACGCTTGGCGCCTCCTTTTCCTAGACCTTTTCCTCCTTTACCTCTTCCAGTCATGTTTACAGGTTTCTTTCTAAAGTAGAATGATACTTCACGAGCAAGACTACAGAAGATTTATACAAGCTACCGAACTTCGTAGTAAACAGTGTATAGTGCAACATGATTGGTTGATAAGCTGACAATAGGCCAACACATTATTAACGCCTCATTAATTATGCCGCGAAGACAACTTATCCTTGTTTTGAGTTTTATACTTCTGAAACCCAAAGTTTACATGGAAATATTGTTGTATAGAAACTTCATAAACCAGTCAAATTATTACAAGCAGAACTTCTAAATACAATGTTCCTAGAGATCAGTTTTGAACGCAGTACACTGAAAGCATTGAGTGCTTTTTGAAGCCAGAAAATAACTGAGCTTCTAGTTTTAGAATTTTGGAAAATGGCGGGATAATAAACGAACCAATGATGTTTGAGCACATGCATAGTTAACCAATAAGAAAGCAGTATTATCTAAACCAATCGAAGTCAAGAGCGCCAAATATAAGAATCATTGCTGTGATCCTAAATTTATCAGTTTAGTTTGTAAACGGAAATTATGGCTCGTACAAAACAAACCGCTCGTAAATCTACCGGAGGAAAAGCTCCCCGAAAACAACTTGCAACCAAGGCAGCACGTAAAAGTGCCCCAGCAACTGGTGGAGTCAAGAAACCTCATCGTTACAGGCCTGGTACAGTCGCTCTTCGTGAGATCCGTCGTTACCAAAAGTCGACCGAGTTGCTGATCCGCAAGCTTCCCTTCCAACGTCTCGTCCGTGAAATTGCTCAGGACTTCAAGACTGATCTTCGATTCCAGAGTTCAGCTGTCATGGCTCTTCAGGAGGCTAGCGAGGCTTACTTGGTTGGCCTGTTTGAAGACACCAACTTGTGCGCCATTCACGCCAAGCGAGTCACCATCATGCCCAAGGATATTCAGCTTGCCCGCAGAATCCGTGGAGAGAGAGCTTAAACTGGTTCCCTACTAAACACAAACAACGGCTCTTTTAGGAGCCACCACATGCTAGAAAGTCAATAACTAAATGCTTCTTTGTTTATTTGAAATAAAATGTAACAAATGGACCAATGTTCTCAGAGAGAAATCTCAAACATGACAAAGTTTTTTCGAGAAAAGTCTATCAAATATACTATGGTTAATACGACTAATACAGCCCACCATGTAAGTTGACTGGATGTTATTCTGATGTGTTTACGGTGGGTAGTTTACTCGTCTTGAAACCAAGTCTATGACTATGAGTCTATGATATGTTTATGTCAACCTGAGCAGCCGTAAAGTGAGATAAAACACTTGAAACTAGCCATGCCAAAATGTTGAGCTTGATCACGCGACAGAAACAACTGTTGATTTTTTTCGCTCTTTTACGGACCATGAGCAAATTTTATCAATTCTAAAAAGGTATGTCAGTATTTATGCTCTGTGTTTCAAGTATAAGTCGATAAAAAGCGTTTTAAGCGGTAAAATGTTTTCTTCATATAATGTGCGTTAGCTTCGTCCGTGATTAGCGAAGTGGATTAGGGGCAGTGTGTTTGTTGCGGTAAGATCGTCTCAAAATTCTTCAAAACATAGCTGCGGTTTGCGCTAATATTATAACTAGACTATTCTTTAATTCATTCTTTCCTGTTTTTTAAGAAATTCTTCGTGTTTAGAATCACTCTGACCGAGTAATTTAACAAAACGTACACCAACTACCACGAATACTGGCCTAATGAGCTACTAATCGCACAATATTTTTGTTCACAAGGCAAGTCTACCCACGAAAAGATACGAAAATGTTCACTGACATCTGCCCTATCATACAAAGTAAATAGAATAATGAAAATAAATTTGGGTGAGCTAAAATGTTCACTCCAAGCTACACAACAAACACATCAACTCTGTCCGCCATGTTGGATCATTGTTTGGTGAGCCTGCTTCCGCGGAGGTCCGACAGGGCGCATAAATAGACGCTTCCCGCCAAAGCCAGCATCATTTCAAACTCATCGAGTTACCTAATCGTTCTTGTTTACAATTCAAAATGTCAGACGCAAAGAAACCTGCTAGTCATCCTAAGTACAGCGACATGGTGKCGRCCGCYGTCGGGGCCTTGAAAGAACGCAATGGCTCTTCTCGACAGGCCATCGTGAAGTACATCAAGGCCAACTATAAGGTTGGAGATAACGCTGGAGTACAAGTCAAACTTACTCTAAAAAGAATGGTTGCAGCAGGAAAACTAACTCAAGTTAAAGGCACCGGTGCTTCTGGCTCATTCAAGATCAACAAAGCAGCAGTCGAGAAACCAAAGAAAGCCAAGAAGCCCGCTGCTGCCAAGAAACCCGCTGCTAAGAAGCCAGCAGCCAAGAAACCTTCGGCCAAGAAACCAGCGAAGAAGCCCGCGGCAAAGAAAGCTAAAAAAGCTTCTCCAAAGAAAGCAAAGAAGCCGGCAGCTAAGAAATTTACACCAAAAAAAGCGGCCGCCAAACCAGCTAAGAAGCCGTCCGCAAAGAAACCGACCAAGAAACCAGCCGCTAAGAAGTCGCCCAAAAAGGCAGCCAAGAAGACAGCCAAGAAATAAATAGTGTTTAACACACAACAAAACAAACAAACGGCTCCTTTAGGAGCCACCCAAATGCTTTAAAGTCAATGATGCTGTATGCAATGAATCAGAACCCAAAACTTCTCATCGCAATTCGAAAGCGTTTACGAAAAGAAAATAAACGTTCATAGCCAGTTTTAGAAGTGATAAATAATAATGAGAATATATTTGAAAAAATCACTGTTCTTTGAATATTAAAACGACATTAACTTTTGCGACGATATATTGTCGTATAATTTTGGAAGCTAGATAAAAACATGCATATATTTTGAACACTTGGTCTTAATAAAGCAGTTCCATCCCCATAAATCAATACTTTGGTAACTGTATCATCGCAGCTAACATCACTAACTAATAATGACTTACACGCTGAAAACCAAACTTCTTTAGGCTTTTCACCATTGACCCACAATCTCTCTATGACATGGTGAACATGTGCTAGAAAATAATAAAACCAGTATGACTATTCATTCATTTACAATTATAAATAATATATAACTAAAAACCAACTGACACCAAAGGGGATTTTATGTAATACAGAAATTCAAATTATATTAGCCTGAACTTGATTACGTATAGAGAAGGTCATTTTATTCAGAATTCACTGATCAACATTGCAATCTTAGTCAATCAGTTTTAGTCAATCAGTTAACATGATGCTACAGTCTTAGTCAAACATTCAGTAAACAGGACACTTTGCCATCTAATTCAAATACCAAACCAGACACATTGCCATAAAAGTCAATAATTTAGCAGACATTATTGCTGTCTTAGTCAATTATTTAACTGGCAGACGTTATTGACATCTTAGTCAGTCAGTTAACCATCAGACTTTATTGCTATCTTAGTCAGTCAGTTAACCAGCAGACATTATTGCTATCTTAGTCAGTCAGTTAACCATCAGACATCATTGCCAACTTAGTCAATCACTTGACGTCATTGCCAACTTAGTCAATCAGTTAACCATCAGACGTTATTGCCAACTTAGTCAATCAGTTAACCATCAGACATTATTTCCATGTGAGTCAGCCAGTTAACCAGACAATACTAATACATACAAACTCACCAACACCAAAGAATAAAGGACAGATGATGACTGACCATTGAACTCCAAAACTTGGTATTAACAATGGAAGCATACATGCTCTGTAGACAAATTCCTCTGTAAGAGGTGCCTATAAAACACAGCAACCTTGTAAAGCAATAGCCTCCTCAGAATACAAAGGGGAAAAGGTGCAGAAGAGGCTTGTAAATCAAAGGTCTTGTTATGTCTAAATATAACAACAGCTTAGACATACCACTATGTAGTTGCGAATCTGCACTGAGCTCAATGAAGTGATGGACTTTGACAAATCTGTAAAATACAATCAAAACTAATACTGAAATGCTTTAATTAAGAAAGTTTTGCAGTACATAAATTTTTTTGTAAAAAAGAGAGCTAATCTAGACAATCTAGTTTTACAAAGGCCTTTTATTGTGCATATAAATGTTATTGTCTTCTTTGTAGACAACATTTCTAAATAAAATTATAATCTATTACCCACTTTACTATAAAGGTTAGATGGTTATAATTATAACTGTTAAAGCTATTCAGGTAAATTATGAAAATTGGAATATTCCAAGAGGATGAGGTTTCTTACATAGGTGGCAGGTTAGAGCCTTGTTAAGTACTATGAATCAAAATACCTGATATTTGAATTTCCTTATTTATAAACAATAGTACCAAAGGACCAAGAAACAGAACCTTGACAATAAAAAAAAACAAATATTTAAGTATGGCAGTATGTGTACTTATAATACAAATTCAAGATATAATTTCTCAGGAAACTTTGTCATCCTGTCAAGTGTCAACTGGCATGGGGGTATCAACGCACTCACAAAAGAGAAATGTCAGCTTGTTGTTGTGGCATAATAGTTTCAAATAGACTTTCGAAAACAAAATTGTTAATAAGGACTGAAGGCTAGTGGTCATGATTCACTTATCAACCAGTTTGTGGGTTTGACAGAAACAAAAGTTTCTTAGAGTAAATAAACTAACACTTCTTACCATGGTCAACAAAAGAGGTAAAACAGATGCTACAATGACATTATTGATGTGAATTCCTAGCCATCTCCATAATGAATAAAACTACAATAAAAAACAATCAATTCTTATCAAATAATATTAACTATGTACATTCTCTTTATTTTTGTATCTTTCATTTATTCCTTTTTCATACATTCCATTATTCAACTTCCATTTTCTCATTTATTCTACATTCATCCATTTTCCTTGCCATCCATTCAGTTGTTCACCTTGACACTAAGGGCACCAGATCTGCTGTCAGACCAGAACCAAACATACAAAGGAGCTAGAAGTGACACTACAAAAACGCTTTTGAACCTTTGCTTTATAGTCTTTGGATGATCTCTAATTCCAAAAAAGTTGTCATTAATATTCTCTGTCAGCAATAAATTAAGAGCTCAATTAATAAGATTCGTTAGATTAATCAGCTTAGATTATTCTGAACATGGAAATGATAAAAAATCAACTGTCATTCAAGCTACTTAACTAATATTTCAACTCAAACTCTTTCAATAAAAAGCGTAAGCTTTTTTTCTATGTAAACAGCTGATCCACCGCATGCGCGCATTTGACGTTTTCTCAAAATATACATGAATTCCTTCTCATATAATACAAATTTAGAGACCAACCTTGGCAGAGGTGATTTGTAAATATATAAACTAACAACATATGAAACAGCAATGATAAAACATGCTACAAAACTCCTCAGTGTTGTGATTTCAGAAAAGCTCACAAATGGTCCAACTCCGTCCACCATTTTGAATATTAGTCTAAAAGCATGATGGGTAGGATGTATTACAACACAGGAAGACCAAAAAACTGGGAAATTTGGAAGAATTCGGGTGTAAACTTCGCGTTAGGAATGATGTATTGACAGCTATGTCGCTCAATTTTTATACTTATATGAAGCGTATTTTTTCTTATTTTCAAATAAAAAATCAGTCAGATGGTAGATCATTTAAGTTGAAAAAATATTCTCAAAATCTATGCATATAGAAAAATTTTGATAGATTGAAAATTTTTAGATTTTACAGATAAATATTCTTATTTTACAGAGTTTAAATCTGTATTTTAGAGTCTTTCTGGTCTAATAATCTCGGTTACCTGAAATCTTGGTATCCCTGTGGCAAGACTCCACTGATCATTCTTCGCTTATATCGCGGGCTCATTTTATCATGCGATCATTTGATATTTTAATCACTTTTGAACAAAGAATCATCAGTTGCACAATGCCAAGGATTATGAACAAAATAATATTTGCCACGTTTGAGGTGCTTCAGACGGCAGTCAAGTAGAAACAAAGCCAAAGATGTGAAATTTGGCGGATTTTTGAGGAGAAGCGTTTTTGTTCATCGAAGCACAGCTGTTTCGTCCAGTCGAGTTTCAGAGGTCAAAGACTGATTCTCCAAGCATTTGTTTAAGAGAAAAAAAAACGAAAAACAAAGGAGATTTCATAAACAAACACTCGATAGCTTGCAGCTCAGAGCGTGTGCATTGATTTTTCTCAGCAGAATTTTAAACAGTGAAACATTCTCAAAAAACTGCAAGTTACGAAATAGGTTCCAATTTTGACATAGCAAGATGGAAGAGTTTGACTTAGACATACTTAATACTAACGTGTTCAGCGATCTTATGTGGAGTATGAAGTCGTATAATCCCAAACGTTACAAATACTCCGTGCAAAGAAGTCCAGCAGAAATAAAGCAACATGTTTTAGAGTCTAGAAGGGTTACACACATCATTGATGAGGTATGAAGTATCTTGCTTGTACAAATATATGCTTAACTTACAGTATAAAGATCATTTTAGTTGCAGAAAATTTGTTTCATAATTTGAATATTTTTTCAAGCTAGTTTTTGTTCGTTTGGGTCATTAAAGCTATGGATATTTATGTACCATTTTTATGAAGATGTATATCTGATAGACAAAATTTAAACAAACTATACACTCTTTGAATAAGTCCCGAGGTATTGTGTCCTCCACACTTGATGTCAAATTTATTCTTTTGAATTCCTTTTGTACTGTAAAATTTTCACTAGAATAAATTTGACGTCAAGTGCAGAGAACACAATACCTCTAGACTTATTAAAAGGGTGTATAGGGGGTGGAGCTCAATAAACAATTACAAACCAAACATTATATTAGTGGGTTGGGTATGTTTATTAAGCTGTAGGGGTCAGGATAAATTAATAGCTGTTTGTAGTAGGCCTAGAGAGGGTGGGTAGCTGGGCCCTTTTTTTAAATTTGATACAAATATATTGAAGTTGTTGGGCTGTTACCTATGTGGTACCTATATCTGTCCCTGCCCCTCCTTACTGTTTTTAATGCTTTTTTTCATCGTGTTAAAACAACTAGTGTATTGATTTATGTAGACTGCAAAAGAACAAGGAAAAACTATTGGTGAAATAAAGGACCAGGCTAAAGCCATTTTGGATGAAATGGGACACAATTACAACATGAAGACACTTCGATTTATGGCTTTCATCATGAAGAAGATTTTGTCAACTCTGCTTAGAAAAGTGCTTGTGAACAAGAAAGGAATTGAAAGGGTAATTAACATTGTTCATTTGCAATAATAGTGTTACATGGTTAGATTTTATTCATCCCCTTTGCTGTTTCAGTAATGTGATTGCTCCTATATTATAAATTTGTAATTGCAGTTTTTGCATTGGTGTACTTCATAATCAAATACTGAAACTCTAATTGCCCTTTGATGCTGTAAGGTTGAATAAAATAAATTTGTGTTTTTTTGTTTTGTTTTTCAGCTAAGAGAAGCATCTGTCCATAATCCTGTAGTGTTAATTCCATGTCATAGAAGCTATCTAGACTTTCTTCTTGTGTCATTCATCTGTTTTTATGCTGATCTTCCAATACCCTTCGTTGCTGCTGCACAAGGTGGGACATGAGTGCCATATTGCAGTATTATCCCTTCCTTTGACAGTCTTAAGGCCCACTTTCACTTGCATTTTTAAAGTGCGATGACCATCGCCTGAGATTTGAACATGCTTGAAATTTAGCTGCAACTTGAAGGTGATTTTCCATTGTCGCAACAATTCCAGGGCTGTTTACACATGCAATTTTAGTTGCACAATAGCAAAGGGGCTATTATCGAGCTTCAAAAATCACAGGTGTAAATGGACCATTAAGCATATTTTCCATGCATTAATACAACTTTGCATACCCCATCATCTCAGCAGAATGATGATGTGTCAATGGCAATATTACTAAGCATCCTACTCAGTAGTACAACTTGTCTCAAACTTTGAACCTAGACTCTTTTTGAACCTACAATTCTACATGCTGTTTCAATGGCACACTTCAAATCCAACATGACAAGTTGTATCATATATCAGCCTGCAGCACTATTTTGATGCTGATATGTCATATACAAAAAAGGTCATTATGGCATGTATTGTTTAACAATATTTTGTAACTATTATTCAATCTCTTGGTTCTTATTTCCAGACTTTATGAACATGAGAGTTGTAAGAAGACTTTTCCGTCGTAGCGGTGCCTTCTTCATGAGACGATCATTTGTAAACGACAAACTCTACTGGGTTATTTTTGCTGAATACATACAGAACCAGCTGCAAAAGGGAGACAAACCACTTGAATTCTTCATTGAGGGGACAAGAAGCAGGACTGGAAAGTTTCTCCACCCAAAGCTGGGGTTATTATCAATGGTTGTAGACCTGTATGCTAATGCTGGAGTCCCAAATGTTTTACTTTGTCCTATTAGCATTAGTTACGATAAGGTGGTTGAAGAATCACTGTTTGCATATGAACTGCTCGGTATCCCAAAGCCAAAGGAATCCTTGAGAGTGAGTATCATTCATTAAGTCAACTAACTGTGGCAATAGATTATTTAAATCGATAATATATACATGAACACCTACATGTAATAGGTCATTTTTGCAGTTAGAAAGCAAGTTGCACAAGCAGCCTGTTGTTTTGCAAAGCAAAGCAGAATCGGGGAACAACCCATAAAGTTGTCCTTTTTGAGCTTTTGCAATGTCAGGAAAAATCATGATTTTGTTATTTGAGGGCTGCAGCAAACATACGGTCACTTTGGTTTTAACTTTGAAAAGGTCCACTGTAAAAATGCTGTCAAAGTATTTAGAAATAATTGGAATTGAATAATATGTACGGGAGTAATAGTGGTTGTCTTAAAGGTTTTTTTGGTTTGTGTTTTTTCAGGCTTTGATAAAAAGTCGATCAGTTCTTTCTGAAGACTATGGCAATATTTACATCAACTTTGGTGAGCTAGTTCCTTTGAGTAGCTGCATTGAGGGGAAACTTGATAGAATGGCTACTGCAGCAATTCCAAGGTATGTCACTTGTTAGGGAACTGCTATGGGCATTTAAAATTACAAACAAGCAGTTTTGAAGCCCATTAAGGTTACACACTAATATTTTATATTGCTTATCAAATTCCAACATTTAAGCTTAAGCATATTTTTCATAACAATATTTCCAAAATTAAATGTTGTTTTTGAGAGAAAATCAAATTAAAGTCGTATGCAAATCAGGACAAATCTCTTGCTCAAATAAGGATGTGATCTGAACAATGATTTTCCTTTGTGTCTATCTTATGAATTATTATTGATGGTTTTATAAAAATGTAGATTAACAACTACAATTGGCCTGGTGTGACGTGAGCCAATGATTATTATAATGATGATGTTATTCAAGGTGATAATTTCTTTATCCCAGACATTTGTTGCTTTATCTCACTGAAGAAGAGAAAGAAGTAGTGAGACAAACTGGATATGGTATCATCGCTAAGTTACAATCTACAATGGTAGTGACCTCCTCAGTCACAGTGTCTTCCATAATGTTGCAACATCAACAGGGATTGCTGTTTGGTATATATGATTAATTTTGTCAATTTGTCATTTGTTAAAAATTGATTTTCTGACTTATTTTTTTGATTGATAGATGAATTAGTTGCCAAATTTGAGTGGCTTCAACAACTGTTTAAGATGTTCAGTATTCCTATAGCTCCTTCAGGTAATTACTATATAATTATTATGTTAAGTGGTCTAGCATGGGTTTCCTGTGTTTTCTATAGCTTGTAATAAGCTTATTTAGCTCAGTTAGATAGCATAGCTGAACATCACTGCTATGTCAGGATAAAACCATTCCATAACTAAGAGAGCATAATGAAATGAAAATTTTATTTTAATCCAATACATGTACATCCAGTAGTTGTTTAGGCTCTCTCGATAATAGGATTGTGGTTTGATTGTGGTCTTTCTTTAATTCTTTACTTGCACAGATTATCCAACTACCATAGAAGTCATCAAAGACAGCATCAACTTTCAAAAATCAAGTCTTGAGGTAGACTCGTATGGTGTTGTAAGAATTAAAGAACCTCAGAGATCAGACAGCGAGGAGCATGGCTCAGCCATTGCACACGCATCTCGGAAACAACACCATGTTATCAGCTCAGTTAAGGATGTCTTGGATGAAGCAGCAATACACTTGCAACTTGCATACAAGCGCAACACACTGCTGCCATACTTCTTTGGCATTGGGATGGTTTCCATGGCAATTAACAAACAGCGTGGCAGTTTAAAACAATTAGGTATTAAATGGAATTTTCTATTTTTCCAGAATTTAAGTTTCTGGATAGTTCAGAATAGAGTGGGACCCTGCCTAATGGCCACCCTCTTAATGTGACTGCTCCATTTTTGTAGGCAGATTTTCATGTCCCAGTAAATTACACTGTAGACAATTTTCAATGTCCTTTCTGTGGCTAGTCTCCTTTGCAGGCTCTCCTTTTGTTCGGCTTCCTTTCCCTCCCAAATTTGAAGAAATCAGAAGTTGCACCTGTGACTATTCTGTGGCTGGATAAACAGGATTCTGTTGTTATAAGAGAAGAACAGTAGACAAGGAACAATTAGATTTACAGTATATTTTGCTATATGTTGCAGGAATATTAACAGAAGACTTCAACTTTCTATCGGCCCTGCTTATTCAAGAGGTGTCAGGGCTGGCTGAATCCCTTCCAAAGGTGATAAATCTAGCTTGATTAAAATTGCCCAACCCCCTCCCCCCATCATCAAACCTGTTTATTTATTTCTTCATTCATCTTTTCTGCAGGTTTTTCAGCAAACTCTAAACACTTTGCAAGAAAACAATATACTGGTMTACAGCAACAACAACTGTCTTGTTGTTCATCAAGATTCTTGTTTAGAGTTTGCAGCTGGTCTTTGGGTACCTCTGCTCACTGCTTATTGGGTAAATATGATTTATGCTAGCCTCTCCTTTGCAGGAAACTCTATTCCGCGGGATTCCTGTGTTAAGGCAGAAATTGGATGGAGATGGGATCCTAATTTCTCGGCACCAGTTTGTCTCAGTCACGATGAATCAACACAGGAAGACCAAGAATAGAAAAAATAGCCAGGTTATTTTGTAAACTTGGCTCAAATACTTTGGATAATCATGTACTTTCTCATGATTGATGATGAAAAACGGTTTTTCATTGTCCCTCTTAGCTTATGAAAAAAAGTTATTATGATTGGTTGTGGGAACTCTTTAAAATAATTCTGTTTAAAGGAGTTAAAACTCTTGTTGTCCACTTCTTTTTTTTTCCCTTTTGTTTTTATTTGTTTTTAATGTATCTATTTTTTTCTAATTTTCTAATTTTCATATTCTGCCTTGTTCAGGTTGTAGCTGAATATCTTATCAAGAATGCAGACAGTGAAGAGAAATCCATTGGAGATGTCCAGAGAGGAGCACAGCATCTTGCTGCAGAATATGTCTTGTCAGGTATAATACTAATAATTAAACAATGCTTGCATTTGATAACTGATAAACTTTAAGAATTGGGAAGCATCTGGTGGTGGGACACCACACCCTTCCCTCCCCTCCCTTCCCCATCCTTTTGACAAATATTTTGGGACACCCCCTGACAAATATCGGAGGATTCCAATTTCCCTGCTTGTGTAATACTTGTGGGTGAGCAATTACAGCCAATTACTGCAATTACAATTACAATTGAATCTTTAATGACACGTTGGTATAACAGAAACTTAAATTTATTGAATTCTCGCTTCAAAGAAGTTAATGGAAATAGCGCCCTCTTTAAAACACACGCTCACAATTACGGACACTTTTAAAATTAAGGTACCTAGCGTTCCCGTTATTATAAGAGTCAGTGGTGGTAGGAACTAAGCCTTGCCAAGGCCTATTTTTCTAAACATGACACTTTTTATCTAATTCGCGCACGTTTCAAAGGTTTTATATGAATATCAATCTGGTAGCCCTATTCAAAGTGGTCAATTCATTTACCATATCCATCTTTTTCATTATCATTATTTTAAAAGTTTACTCTCTTTTTCTAGGAACAATTAATCAATATGAAGTCTTGTCATTGGAATTGCTCAAAAATGCCATTGGTGCTTTTAAAGACATCAAAGTGATAACAGTAATGAAAAGGTAAGGAAATGATAAAAAATATTATTCCATAAAATCAGTGCATTTTGGCCTAGTATGTTTGTAATCGTTCCAAAATGCGTTTGGCTTTGTGGTACAATTTTCAAGCAAGAAAGTAATGAAATCCTTCTAACTTTGTCTTGTAGACCAAACACGAAAGTAATCACTATTCCTGATAGAAACGGCCTTCGAATGATACACAATCGAATTGGTAAGAAAATTTGTTCACTTTATATTTTTTCGATTAAGTAATATTTATTTTCGCGGGCTAAAAGTCCACAGGCATCCAAGAGACTTTGCGCGATTTTCTTACATCAAAAAAATCGATCGCTATCTTTGATGTTCAACCAATCAGAAAGCAACTACTCTAGAGCTTATATTATTGTTTTTTTATTGTTTATATATTATGTGCATTGGTGTACTGACTTTCTTTTCTATTTTTTCCTGTTTTTTTTTAGGTGAATTTTTGCATCTGCCGCAAGATACGAAATACATTTCACCGCCGATGTCAAAACTTTGAATGAAGAAATAGATATCAAATTAATATCAATAATATTAATAATAATTTTTTAAACTTACTTCCAATATTTGGAACAATTAGCGATATATAATAAAAATAAACTAATAGGTCATTTTGATATAATTATGTTTTATGGGTAGGGTGTGATCTTTTAATCCGTGAGCGATGTGAAAGAAAGCCTTTAACTGTTTGGGAGCAATTTCAATGGCAACATTTTTACAAGCTTTCTTATTTAGACAAACCTTCATGCGTTTTTGAACCTAGAAATATTTTTTATGAAGACCTAAAGACGAGAAGTTTGTTCCTAGATCATGAAAAGTTGACTCGGTTGTTGCACTCAACTCAACTCAACTCGAATTCCTTCTCGCCGCTTTAGAGAATAACAGCATTAATTAATCAATTATCTTAATGATAGAGTATAATTTCCCCTGTGGGGTGAATGCGCTCATCCCCTGCAAGCGCTATTTCTCGTCCAGATTTACAGTAATATAAAGTACTAAACGTTTCTTGTATCATTGCCTGACATGAGCATCTTGAAGGAAAAACAGCATTCACCTTTTGCACCTTTTGAGTTATATTGTTCATCGGTAACCTTTTGAACAATTTGTTTTTATTATCACAGTGAAGCACTTGAAAGCACTAGTACGTGAAGCTTCTCTCTCATTAAATTTAGCCGCAATTAACAAAGTGAAATTCTGAAAAAGTATTGATAGTCTTTTATTATTATTTTTTTAGATATACAGTACTAGTTTTATTTCTTTATTTATAATTTTAAATTTTGTAGTTTCAAAAATTATACTTGCCTAATTTCTAAGTGTGAATGATAATTGTTGATTTAATAAGTGGAATGCTTATAAAGATCACGCCGCAGCGCTCTGCTATATAAGAGAGATTTAAACAGAGATAAACATCATTTAAGATATGATGTACTAAATACCTAGAATTATCGTGTCTTATTCTGTTTTCGCATTGTTTTTTGATCAGATCATTTACATATATTTTCGTTTGCGTTTGTGAATACATTACTCAATATCTACACGTAGTTGTCCCTTCAAGTTAATTTTGCTTCAGCCGCTGGTTGATGTTCGTCTGTATCTCGCTTCTCTGGCTCGATAAGATCGCTTATCTGTTGAACTTTTCTCCTCAAACCGCCCACCTCCTTAGTAAGAGTTCGATCTTGTGCTTTCATTTCACTCAATTCTTTTCGTATCCATTGCAATCCTATTTCAAGGTCTTTTGCGCGTTCTTCCAGCGTCATGCGACGACCCACTTCTGGAAAAACATCGTTTTCTTGTTGCTCTTCTTTCTCGCTGTCACTTTTTTCGGGTGAACTTTTCTTATGTTGTTGCAGCTCCTCATTCTCTTTGATCTTTAAATCTGAGCTAGTTTGATTCCTTGGATCGTCAATTGAGGACATAGTTTTTGATATCGGCTTATAACGTTGAAGCAGAGTCAGTGACACAATCTCCTAGACCCGCACCGATCTTACACTTAAAGCGAAATAAAACTCTTCTCACCCAAGGTAAACAACTGAATCGGCAAAGGTCATTGATATACATGCAAAGTCGTGTTCGAAGCTACGGCAAAGGTATACATAAACAGCTGTATTGTCTTTCGACCAATAAGAACGCTTTATATTGAAACTGGAATAAACATTCTATCTGCATGGATGATTCTTCAGTGATCCATAATCTTAAACAATAATTATAGATATAATCATTGTTTATTGAAATCATCTCTAACCACTTTAGGTAGGTCGAGCACACGACGGGCTCCACTTCCCATACTTGTCAGACACAACAAAGATTAGACMCCAGGGAAGTATGACCCGACGGCCAACCTATTTCCTACATCCGCTGAATTTTTGGCCAACAATCATCAGCTTAAAATTCCAATTTGTGTCCTAGTTAATGTCGCTTTTAATTAACACCAGTGAAGTGGCATTGAAAAAGATTATTTGCTCGAGTAGATAAGAAAAAATTTGGATGAAATTAGAAAGATTCATATGCGACCGGGCTCGAAATAAAGGTTTACTCTTGATTTTTATGATCCTAATTCTTATTCAAAAATAACCGAATATTGAATAATTACAAAAATTGTAAAATTTGCATAGAATATGAGTTATTTTTGTTCATTCTTTTCTCATAAAACAGTGCGTGGGCGAAGAGATATAGAACTAAGAATTAAGTAGTTAGTGTTCCTTTTGTGCTCCTTGTTAAGTCTTTCACCTTCAAAACCCCAGGGAACTTCTGTTACAACTTATAAGGCTTTTCTAATATGTCAAAACTCGTTTGGTACTAGGCCAAGTCCAATATAAAAATAAAAACATGAAGGACACAAAACCTGCTGGTTTAATTGATGGAATGTTTCTAAGACTCGCTGAGTCGTACACTCCATTTTTCCACTCCGAAGCTACGTCCGAAACGTCAGTAAGTTGTTTCAGCTACTTTTTTACGGTGTTAAATTTATATTTTTACCAAACTGACACTAATTTTTACAATTTTTCAGAGCTGTTTTTGTTGTCTTTTTTTACAGATTTCTTACTCCAAACGTATTTTAATGTTCATTCAATTCTCTGATTTAAGTGTGCGGAACTTGATTCAGAAGGACCCGACGGGGTCTGTTCTTCTAAATAACTGTTCTTGTACGATTTTATTCGTGGGAATTTTAATTTTAATTTTCCTGAAAAAATTGTCCTTGCCTAGAGAGTTCTTTCTTCCTGAATTTCTCGCTGGCAACCAGTTGTGACTTACAGCTGGCTGGGACATAAGAACAGATATATTTTTCCCAGGAACTCATAGGTTCCTCCTACTTGATTCAACCCGTACACGTGTGAATCCGTCATTGCCTGTCCTGCTCATAACATAATTTCAGAAGATTTCAGACAAAATGTGCATGTGGACTGGTCCTGCATTATAGCGGAGCTCCCGCGCGGGCCGAAGGCCCGCGCGAGCGGAGCACCATACCTAAGAAAAAATGGTATACCATCGAGTCCATTTTTCATGGACCGACACAGGTATCCCGCGCGTACGTACGTTTCCGTCCTGGATTCCGTGTACCACCACAGGAAACCCATACTCCGCTCGAAAAGGAAACAAAGCGCCAAATATTTGTTGAAAAATCGAAATTTTTTCCTTAAACATTTATATTACATATTGATAATATTAGAACAATTAATCACAAGGAAAAAATCCACAGAAGAGCGAAATAACAGCACAGAAATATTCCCGCCAATTTTGTCATAACTTCGACGCGTCCGCACATCCGGGAAATCGATTTGCGAAGATGAAAAGCAATTTAGGCCCATCTTAAAAGTGATTAGAAAAAAGGATTTTACTTTGATATTTCGACAACAAGAAAGAGATGATACTTTATTGGAAATACTTCAATAATATGGACCAATATGGGAAAAAGCAGGGATCTATGCGAAGTTCTTTTGTCGACTAAAAGTGTGGACATTTGGAAACCAAGACCATGCTAGCAGTTAGAATGAGAGAGATTAAAAACAAAGTATTTACAGTCTTGAATGACTTAATAAATTGTTGAAACCTATGCTTGAAACAAGTATGATTCTGTTGAAGATGACCTTTGAACGATAATTTATCGGAAGTTCGATAATGAAGGTAAAAAATATATTTTTGTATGCAGTTTTCTGTGATATGTGAAGTTCGAGTAGTCCGGGTTCAAACATCGATTGAAACAAACAATGTCGATTATTGTAAGCTTATGTAGACTACTTTTTAAATCAATTGACCTTTACAGACTATAATATTAAACTTCATCCTACGGAACAAAATCTACCGAAGTCAATATTAGTACAAACTAAATTCTCATAAACATACTCTTTATAATATTTGTTCGCATGTCAACAAAACTGTTTGTAACTCACATTCCTTAGAACAAAGCATCTACCTTTGAAATAGCAGTACTAGATAATCATTTTCAGCTTCTATATTGGTATTGGAGCTCCGCTATTAGGTGTTACCTAATTTTTATATTACAGTCTAATAGGGGCACTTCTACATGGCATAAAAGCTGCGCAATTGCAGATTCCCTTCGTTTACAGTACCTGATGACTGCAGTGCTCTGCAGTACACGTTCATAGTAATTGTGTGGAGTGTCTATGAGGGGTTTGCGTGTGTGACCGTTCGTCTGTAACCGGCTTTCACTTGAAACTCGCGACACCGTGATCGTCAGCCGGGAAGCCGTCTAAGTACTCTGATACTTACCTAATTTATATTTTGAATTTTTATTTAATTTACTTATTACTATCTAGCATTTTCTACTTCTATTGTTTTTAACAACTTTATTGGTCTTGAATGTCTAACCAATTTACTTCGACCACGATTTCGAGTAGACAACGAGTTTGTAGTCCTTGGCCATCAAGCAATCGGGCAAATTTAACAAAATGTCACATCAACGAAATTTTTTTTCTCGCCATTATTAAAAGTCTTAAAACCTACTCAATACAGAAGAATTTGATTATTTTTTTTTTTATTTTTTGGGGGACGCTAAAGATCGAACTCGTGCCCTGATATAATTCAAGGAGTTATAGGGAAATTGAACTTCCATTGGGTACAATATAAATATTCATATTTTTTTAATCCCAGGGCGTAGTTTTAAGCCGGCCTGTTGACATTTTTTCATGTTGAGATCAATAAAACTCAATAGCTTTCTATCTAACTTTTGATATTTACATGACTTTATTGAAATAGCCATAAATATACAGGACTGTTCATATAAATAGTTACTACATATATTACATTTATTCAATACTAAATGGAACTGAAATTTACAATGCTCTCTATTCTCGGTGCTCGGCAGTCAATCGGAATTTGTCGTCTCACTGCGATCTCCATCGGAAAACTCCGATTTGATGGCGACTGCTGTCATTCAGTTCGGAGAGATATTGCAACATTTAGATGCACAGCGTTGTTTTCATTAGCTGCAGATAAAGAAAAAATTGTTGAAATTGTGTGGTGGAAAAGCTGCAGGAGACAAAATATTAAGTAGTGAACTGAAGCAAAGGAACGAACGAAAGGGAAATGGAAATGGAAATACGATGAGAGAAAACAAAGGACGAAAAGGATGGAAGGAAAAGACTATAAAGTGTAATTACGGAACGCTATTGAAAAAAATGGGAGGAAGTGGAAAACAAAATTCTTTTGATCAGGGAACAACTTACGTCGTCCATATTGAATCTAGCAATTCCACTCGCTCGCGATCGTCGTAGAAATGCTTCTGTTGAGGAAAAAGAGGTTACATATTAATCTATCACGAGACATAATTGCAATATAGACAATATCAGCAATGAATGTTGGTCACTATTACCTACAAAACTTGAAAAAACATGTATTATCAATAACCTTACGGGCTTTCTGTGATGACAAAAAGAAAGTCCCTCCCCGTTCGACCGCATTACTTTCCATCATGCATTTAATTATAACCAGTCTTTTTCGGTCAAAACGGAGCAAGATGGCTGCTTGTACGGCGTCATGTATGTTTGCACTAAAGCAATAAATTTATACGAGTTTTGTTCCTTTTTCAGTATGCTCTAACCATAAACATTCTTGTATAACTTGAAAGCCAAAACAGTGCTTTTGTTAGCATGCCGGATTAAAATAATATTTGTGATCTACCACACACCCGGCACGAAATACTACAGCCTGCGACAACAACCTTTTCAAACTCTTTGTTAAACTTACCAAATATTAAAATGAGTCTAACGTTGACCTGTACAAACATATCAAAAGACAGAACACCTCGTTTGTTTTGGTATCTTGAGCAGGCACCCTCTAAAGCGCGATTACTGAGTAAAAAATCTAAATAGAGATACAAATAATGACATTAATATAAGGGACTTCGCAATATTTATCAGGAGGGGGGATTGAGAATCCAGAGGGGGAGGCAAAATCTAATTTTATGTGCTTAAAGGGGGGGGGGGCAACATCTAAAATTAACTTGAAGTTTTAATTTGAAACTGAAAAATCAATGGTGTCAGATTTTGTGCTTTTTGGCCAAACACTTATTCGATCAACTGTGGAAAACATATCAAGAAAAGCGTGCCACTATTTGCGACAACTCTTTATTCGCGAATACTAAAATAAATAAATTCACAGGTGGGAGGGGGGAGAGGGGAAAGGGGGTGTTATGTATTTCATTTGGGGGAGAAATAAATAACTTTTTTTGATTTTTTGGCTCGTTTCTCAAGTCCCTGAGAGTGGAGGGCCAAAGGATAAATTGTTTCCATTAATATCAAAGAGCTTACTCAGTCCTTTCAGCGCGTCTCGCATTTCAAATATATCCATATCACCACTTGTGTCTCTGTCGTAATACTGAAAATGTCTCTAGAAGCAAAGAAAAAAGAATTTATAATGATTGCTGGAGTCTCATAACACAAAATCCGGAGCGTTCCTGGATTCCGGGGATTCCGGATTCCAGAATGAAACATTTTTCGTATTCCGGATTCCGGATTCCACTTGAACAGTGGGGTCACATCATTACAGACTAACCTTCCAAACCTTGATCATCCGGAAGATCTCGACGAATTCTTCATACTCAACGGAACCATTATCATTGTTCTTGGTATATCGTTAAGGTATAATAGCTTAGCAGAAGAAAATTAAAAGGCGGGAAAATGTTATGCGCCCGTGCACGTGTTGGTAGTAGCCCCCTCCAGCCTCCATAGCCCACGTTCAAACCTTCTGGAAAAAGTGGTCTTCTCGTTACAAGTGTTTTGAGTATGCTATAACATCTCGGTTTATAGACCAGTGAACCATTTATATCACAATGATATGACTCGATACGCTTATAGATAAACTGCTTATTGATATAAACAATACAGCGACGCCATTTTGTACAACAATGCATGAAGTTAGTTGTAGTCCTCGCACTTTTTAAAGCCTCTAACTGATCATGAATCTCCTTTAAACGCCCGTTTTTATACTTTCCTTACAGACACGGCACACCTATTTTGCAACGAAAAAACAAAAACAGCTTAGATGGACTGTTTTAGCAAGGACTTCAACTCCCATCATGCTTTGTTTCACTAAATGGCGTTCCTGTACATTGCCTATTAGATAAATAGTAATATTCCCTTGAAAGGATACGTCGAACATCGTTATTAGACTCCTGTTTCAAAAATAGAGAAAGATGTTAGCTTGTTTATTTAGCTATATATCTTTATGTTTTGACGTTCCTAGAGTAAACTCCTTCCCATTCGCACTCGGGCTTTTGCACTCGATCGGCTTTCTCGCAAAGTATCAAGGGAAGGGGAGAAAAAGGAAGGTGTGTGGCTTTCCAAAATACAAGAGAGTCGATTCGGGATAAGTCAGATACAACTCTATTTCTGCAGAATCCTAGCATAATAAACGTCTTAGATCTATAAAACATGGACTTACCTAGAAGTTTCTAAACTAAACATTACATATTTGTTATCTGTTATAAAGAAACAATAATGGTAAGTTACATATCATGCAAAATTTGGAAGCATTTGACCATTGAATGAAATATGAACACTTGAATATGTTTACCATGCCCGAATGCCTCGTTGAGAAGATGCTGCAGGTCGTGCTGGTCAGCAGTTGCATCCTAGAATAAAAGTGAAATGTATTGTTGATGTTGCTTCCCGTATTGCTTTGTTTATCAAAGCTTAGTTCTCAGTCTCCCATGCATCTCCGATATCGAAGTGCTTTTGTTCTTAATTGCTAATTCTTATTGCTGTTGTTGTAGTTGTACATGCTGTGATGGTAGTTGTTGTTGTCATCGTCAGTACAAGCTGCGATAGTTGTTGCTGTTGTCGTTGTACGTGCTGTGATGGTCGTTGTTGTCGTTTTTACTGTACATCTGTGATGGTTGTTGTTGTTGTTGTCGTTGTACATGCTGTGATGGTTGTTGCTGTTGTTGTCGTTGTACATGCTGTGATCATGGTTGTTGCTGTTGTTGTTGTCGTTGTACATGCTGTGATGGTTGTTGTTGTTGTTGTCGTTGTACATGCTGTGATGGTAGTTGTTGTTGTTGTCGTTGTACATGTTGTGATGGTTGTTGTCGTTTTCACTGTACATGCTGTGATGGTTGTTGTTGTTGTCGTTGTACATGCTGTGATAGTTGTTGTTGTCGTTGTACATGCTGTAATGGTTGTTGTTGTTGTCGTTGTACATGCTGTGGTGGTCGTTGTTCAGTGTTGTTGCTTGTAGGCAGTGTTGTCACCTTCACTCATGAAATAAGTAATAGTTGAAGCTTACCTCGCCTGTATTGTCGTGGAAAAACTTTTTGTATGTTTTATCGAATCTTTGTCTGTCGAAGTTTGGTAATTTTGGCTGCAATAAAGCATCCTTTTACTCAAACAAATAATAATGTTATGTATTCTTGGCAAATATTATTAGATTGAATTAATGTGTAAATGGCATTAATTATGTGTTATTAAGGGGAATTACTGTGATTATGAGATTTTGAACAGATGTCGTAGACTCCATTTAACAGCTTCAAGCGCCATCTTGAAAGGTAATCAAGTCTTTGCTGCATCAAAATGAGTCACAGCCTGAGCCTGCAGTAATAGATAGCCCAAGCTGGGCTACTTTTCCAAGATGGCGCTGGGAACTAATTGGAAGAGTTAAAGATAGATGCAGACTACATACTCTGGGAGGGCCAAGAAGTTCTGTTCTCTCGTCAATCTCTCTAGAAAACAAAGAGAAATTAGATTATAAGCAATGCAAGCAACACGAGTTTAATGGCTGTCCAGCAAATACATTTTGCACAAGCAATAAAAAAATTCCATTAAGCGTAATCCTGTAATTCAGAGGTATTAAAGTCGAATGTACACGCGCTCGTATAAAGATAGCGTTGTTACAAGCAGATAGCATTGGTTATGGACAGATTCCACAAATCCCATTTTTTTAATCTTTTTATTTCATCCATACAAACACTGTATTCACACTATCTCATAGGAAGGAAGATTTTTCCGTTTTCCAGGGTGTCCGCTTTCGAGAGATTCAACTATTTGCCGTGACTGTATGATGGATTTACTCTAATAGCTCTAAGTCTACACAGCGAACTGCCAAGAAATTCACTTTTCGTCATGTCATCATTGTATAGAGTTATATATGACACTGTGTTACCTTGTTTCATGGAATTTCTCTGAAAATATTCGTAGTATGAAATCAGCTTTTGTGTTAGCCTCGTATGTTGAAGGAATAATGGCGTAATCTCCAGGTGGAAGGGTGCAGCGAAGTGTTATCTCTCTTTCTTTTGTAAACATGTTGGTTTTAGCAACAGCATGATTATTCTCGAAGAACTGCCGCGTTAATCGCTCGTTTTTACCAAGACCGTTTGGTACCTGGTTAAGAGCAAAGTCATAAAAAACTTAGACATAAAATATCATGTACTGAAATCCAGCAACCAGCTGATCAAGCAACTAACCAACCAATCATGCAAACAAGCAAGCAAGCAACCAACCAACCGTTCAGTCAACCAACAATGCAAACAACCAAGCAAACAACCATTCAACCAAGCAATCATGCAACCAACCAAGCAATCATGCAACCAACCAAGCAATCATGCAACCAACCAAGCAATCATGCAACCACCCAACCAAGTAACCAAGCTGCCAGGCAATCATTCAGGCAAGCAGTCAAGTAACCAAGCAACCAATCATGAAACCAAGCAACCAAGTAACCAAGCTGCCAAGCAATCATTCAACCAAGCAGTCAAGTAACCAAGCAATCAATCATGAAACCAAGCAACCAAGTAATCAAGCTGCCAAGCAATCATTCAATCACGTAACCAAGCAACCAATCATGCAATCATGCAATCATGCAACCAAGCAACCAAGTAACCAAGCAACCAAGTAACCAAGCAACCAATCATGCAACCAATCAACCAAGCAACCAACCAGCCCAACAACCAACCAACCGGCTGTTTAAATCTGAACAAAAGAACTTAAATGTTTCTATCGTACTTTATACACTGCAAAGCCAATGGGTGCATCTCTACGTAGTCTTTTCTTGTCTTTTCTCATAAGGTTAATAACCATGGAACAGTAGTTGTTTTCATCATCTTCGTCTGGGTCTGATAGCTTTACTCTGTTTTATAAAATACAAAAAGAGCTTTTTGATTGGCTGAATATAGTATCTACATCTGTTTTTACATAAACATGTTTGAGATGTAAGGTGCGCTCTGATTGGCTGAAGATTGTGATGTTCTGATTGGCCTCCGAACGTTTTTATATTAGAGAATCAAACAGAGAAGGTGAAGGTAGAGAGTGTCCGAAAAGCAAGACAAACATTACTATCACCGGTGGTCTTCTACATATAGGTATCGCTAAGAGTCATGGGCTTCCTGTCTATTTCTAGGAGCCAGGTAAGCCGCTGACCAGCGTCCAAGATGACCGTTACAAAGGAATCCCGAAGGAGCTGCTACGTTATTCGTGTTTCTTAACAAATAAAACTAACTAAACTGAGCATACTGAACTGTATTTTATAGCATTTCAATTAGTTTGAAGTACCGTATTTGTGGGTTTCGATGAAATGTTTTAATAAAGTTACGACATCCTCCAGCGTTTACCCAAGGTTGCCACCGCCCTGTTATTATTCCTTGCTCCCAAACTTTCTTGTGGCTATCTGTAGCGCTATCGGGCGTTAGCATACAAATTTCTATCAGGGATAAATTTGTTATAAAATCGTCAAAGTCCATCCTGCAGAAAGACAAAGTAGGGATGGTCAGTTATTTTGATTGATTTATTTCATTGGATTCTGGAGTGTAGAAACTGGGTCAAATTTGTGAATTTTTGTTGTAGTTGATTTGTGATGGTCAATTCTTACCAAAATTCCCCATCCTTTTCATGAGTTAAATCTAATTCGTACTTTTGTCGCTCTGATAGCATTTTCCATTCTTTAGAGCTGTGAAATATAAGGGTCAGTAAATTAACTATACCATAATACTCGATTCAGTAATGACGTCACAAAAAAGACCTACTTGTCGCTCCAGGCTCCTCTCCATTCAGCTCCTTCCCCCCATGGGTTTCTCAGTCTAATTAAATGCTTGATTGGTCGGTCAGGAAGATATCGCAGCTCCACCTAGTTCAATAGTAAACAACAAAATAATAACGTAAAACAAGCAAAATTACTACCATGAATTAATTAACCAGCTTTCACGTTGAATTTATCCAGTGGCGATCCAGTAGTTGTCCATCCAATTGTTGTTTTGATTCGCTGATCAAACATTATAACTGATTACACACGTTTATTCACCGCAGCACGGACCATCATTTCTTTGATCGCAAACATTACGGTTCTCGTGTTTGAACAAGGGCGTAGTATAGCTAGGACAATGCTAAATATGACTATTTCTAACGTACTAAACTTCATGACTATGAAATTGCAACTCTGATGCATACTATACATCTGCTATATTTGAATTGAAAGGCTCATACATGAGAGTTTACCTTTCTTAATGCTGTTATGGAATAAGAATGCCCGCAAATAAGTCCGTTTGGTAAGTGTAGACTCTGTTCGTTACCCTTGGGCTGGAATAGGCATTGAAGCGTTAGCAATAGCAACAACAACAATAACTTAACAACAAAAACAACAACACTAGAAGAACTTATACATCAGACAATCATTAAATTCATTCACTAGCTCTTTTTTCCCATCGTTTTCTCTTCCACAGTTTTGCAAATGTGACAAGTACAGGTCGGACTTCTTTGATAGATCATGTTTTTCATTTATTTAGAGTAATCATTGATAATAAAGAGGAAGTGTTTGCTTATGTTACGATGTATTTCATTTTCAAACACAAACATGGCTCGGAAAGGAATGCTTATGGACCATAGCCCTGTAGTTTCTACATTATAATCTAGTGTTCTACTCACCACTACACATGTTCCTATCAATGAGTTTCGTTCCATGCTGGTTTTTAGTAGTCCTAATAAGTTATATGGAGCACTGGACATTTTAATCCTCTCTACCACTCCCCCAGTAAAGTCTTGTAGTCCCTCACTTTGTAAACCGTAATTCAAGGCTTCGTAAGACCTATATAACCTAAGAAAGGAGAATTAAAAATATATGTGTAATTTTCTATTACAGTTATCTCTATGTTACAGGAAGAATACATGTATAAATGACGATTTGTACCAGGTGTGATCAGGTGACTCCATCTCCTCTAAGTCACACGTTTTAACCTTTATTTGTAAGTGGTCCCATTCTGGGACCTATGGTACGAAGTGTGAATAGGGCTATATACCGGATAAATCCTCAACCAGCAGATAAAATCTATATAACCGTAATGTACGTGTTAGATAACTTTATCCACCCTTCCAACGACTTTCCTTTGTCCTTCAATTGAACGAAGAGTTGATTTTAATCCTGGGGGGACTCCGGGGTAAAAGTACCGGGGATGCTCGTCAGTAATATTCAAAAAGACCCCTAAAAGATCTCGGAAATCTTGAAAAAAGGGCGTGGCTGACTGATTTTTAACCACTACGAGATTGCACAACAAATATTGTTAAATTAAATCGGTAATTCCAATGATAAAAACGCAGAGGAAAATCAATATCGATGCGCCCTTTCTGTTCACCCTGAGAAACTGCAGAAAATGCAAATATCCAGAAACTACAACTTTTTACCTTCCCAATCACGAATTTTTACCCTTGAGATCCGACGAGCATCCCCCGGTACTTTTACCCCCAGGATAGATTTTATGCGCTGGATTCAGGGGGGTTCTATATACATGTTTCCCTCTTACTTGCAGTAGGCTTTCTCCACCAAACAGCACCAGAATTCATTGGGGTCTGTAGATCTAGTGAAGTACGGTCGTCCGTTAAAAGTCGGTATTCGATCATCAATGATCACCTCATTCCACTCACCAAACCGCCAGAATCGAAATACAAACAACCCACAATAATGACCTTTGCGAAACGTCTGGTGAGGAGGACAAACACGGTAAAGAAGTGACTTGTGTTCTGCGAGAGTTGACAGCGAAGACAAAAACCAACAGTTTTCTAATCGTCCTTGAGCGACATCATGACGGCTGGCACCGTCAGAGAAAAACTTTGGATTGCGACTTATCTCCTGTGAGTTGAAATTGATATATTGTTTATTCTAACATTGCAACAGTAAGAAGGACTTTTTAAAAGTGCTTGGTTGGTTGCGGGTGGTTAGTTGCGAGTGTGTAGTTGGTTGGTTTGTTCGGTGAGTAGGGGGTTGGGTGGTTGGTTGGCTGGTTCGGTGAGTGGGTGGGTGGGTGGTTGGGTATATTGTTGGATAAGTAGTTTATAAGTGTTACAACAACGACTTACAGATGGTCGTTTCCATTCTATGTTAACTTGCAAAGGATTCTTGTCGTACAGTGAGCTGACATTTGCAGGAAATTCTGGATCTTCGTACAACTTTCCATCGCGCAAACACTCGAGACGTAATCTCTCGTATTTACTCTCCCTCCCGATGTCTCTACTGGTCATTATTCCTGGAAATCAAAAAAAATCATCTTAAATAGTCAGTTATATACGTTTTTACTTTTTTATTCAGTAGAATTGTAGAACATCCACAGAAGTACATAACCAACAATTTTGGTTAACAATTTTGGTTAACAATTTTTTTGGTTAACAATTTTTTTTTTCGGTTAAAAATTTTTTTTTGGTTAACAATTTTGGTTAACAATTTTGGTAATTTTGGTTATGTACTTCTGCCATCCATCATCAAAAAACCTTACAAATAGTGTGGCTGCTGTTGTTTTCTGAATTTTTTTCTCAATTTTCTTAATTTTTATCATTATTATTTTCGGTTTAGAGAAAGCATTTGATCATAAACGCTCACTTTACTTACGCATGCTCTTTCATTGTTTCTACAGCGAAATCTGGCCGACGAAACTCTCCAGTTTCAAGCCATTGCAAAAAAGGTAGATCTTCCTAAGTGGTTACCATTTGAGTAAGTACTTGCGCAGCGCGCGCTATCCTGATAAGCGCTCAGCCACAAAATGCACGAATGCACATTGAATTTACACAAGAACGTGCCGGCATATCAAAGCTCCCACGTAAATCAGTGAAGGTATTAAATATTGTTTAGTTTTTTTTGCGTCCTCTATACACAGAATGATCATGCAATGTGAAAACCGCTTGATGTGGTTGCGAGGCTCAGTGGGTGGGCCCCATTCCGTCTGGCGAAGATTATATTGTTTTTGGATGGGACACTATTCATGTTACCGAATTAATACAAACCACCAAGGGCTAAATCAATTAAGTAGTGTCAAAAGCAATAGATTTTTGATGAAGTAAACTTTTTTATCGAGTTTGAGTGTCATCAATTCCACACACATTAAGTATTCGAGCTTACGACCATAATATTGGGTATCATGAGATGTTATACCGTTCTTCAAACGAATAAATAAGTGTAATATTTCAAGAGATATTTTTCACTAAAATGTTGGTTAATGACAGTGTACTTGGCTGGTACCGAGGCACGAAGTTAATTGCCTTGTCGTTTGATATCGGAATCGAACCCAGCGTGTGGTATCTTCGCATATAGTTCAGACAATCTCGTTCGGTTCATTCACAGAAATACGTCGAATAAATTCAGACGCCGTACTTTCCATATGTATAAGAGGAATTAGTTCAGGTAATGGTCAAATTGTAATATTAAAAAAATAATAAAAACCGTTGAACTGTTTCCGTGCCTTTTTTGTTGAATTTATCGGTCTTGAGGGACCTATAAATGAGCTCGGGACCCTCTCTGTGAGATCTGCTTCAGCTGGTTGACCTAACCAGATCTTTCCAATGCAATATATACGATTCATGTGAAAATCGCCGTTTGAATGTTAAATACTTGATTGTAGAAGCTGCTCAAATTTATATTGCATATTATGTAATAATGTTATCAAAACGTTTAAGTTTATAAGCTGTGTTTCATGTTAACCTCGGTAATGAGGTTCTAAAGTCAGGTCGAATCGATATACTAGAAGACTGATAAACTATAGTTGTATGTACTGCTTACGCTATAACAATCAGACAATAGCCTATCAGTGATAGACAAAGGTAGGTCTTTAACAAGACAGTTATCTCTGCCAAATCAATTTAGGTTATGTCAATAAATCAACAATGGCCTAATTGACAGCTATTAGGGACAAATATGAGGTTACAAGCAAATAAACTACGCTATTCAAACTATTGCAAAAATGGCAGTAATAACATCGATAATTTAAGCGAACAAATCAAATTGTTTGATACAATTCGCCTCGATAATAAATTCAAAAATCTTTGCCGAAATTAAATTTGTTTGTGGTAACGCCAAAAAAGGAGTATTAATGTTTTAAAAACGCGAGCTTTCTATTCACTGAAGATTCAGTTGTTAGATATATATTGGACCTAAAAATTATACAAAGCTGGTACGTACCTCGCCGTTGTCAGATATATTACCAATTCAATTCAAAATTCCAATTCAATCAAGTTGGTTCAATGCTCCAGTGCTCGACAAGAGAGGAATTAGTAATGCTTCGTGTATTTGACCTCTGAAACTCATATATATAATACCCCTAACTACACAATGGGACGTAACTGGCTAAATAATACACGATCGATACTACCGAGTTTGGTCGCACACGTCACGAAATCCTGCTCACCCAGGTAGCTAAACCGTCACTGTCGTGAGTGAGCGATAGGCAAAAGACGAAAATCATTGTTTCATTTAGATGTTGTGGTATTTCATTAAATATGGATTTGAATCGAATATGCTGCTAATTATGTACCTGTTTTATAAATTTGGTCGTATTTTGGAATGTTATTTGGTGTTTGTAATCCATCGCTGACAGCCACCTGCCTTTATCACGCCCCTTTGGCAAAATGGTGCCGACGCGATAATATTGCAACAACAAATGCTCTCTGTTTCCAAGTTAGAATGTTTAGAATGACAAATATTAAAGATTTATCTGTTTCTAAAACAATAATTTATGCTATAAATAGTTTGATTGTTATTTTAAATAACCTCTTGGCAATTCCGCAAACTTTATGCCAACCAAAACTATCATTGCAACCCTTTTTTTCTTTTTCTTTCCGACTATTTGTACATTATAATGCTTTGGCTTTTTTTCGTCATTTCGTTTCTCTGGCACAAATGTCATTAACATTACATGAAAATGATTATGTAATAGGTATTCCCACAAGGTCTGACAATTAAGAAAAATTATACATTTACATTTACAAGTTGAGGCGGAGGAGAGACCGGTAGCCTTGTGACTTGGAGTATCAGAAGGAAGCGAAACTTGAAAACATAGCCAAACAGCTCCTCATCATTTGCGAAATAGACCAAAATAACAAAACGAATCGATGAGAACTGAGTAAATAATGAAATCAGAGGACAGTCATGAAAAACTAAAAGATTATAACAAAGAAATTAAAGGAGAAATAAGAAATTGCTTTTGAGGAATAAACCATGCATTTTTGAAAAAAAAGCAATAGCGTCTCGACAAATTTGTATGAAAGCTCTTTCGATATTCTGCATGTTGGCAGAAGAATTGAAGACGAGGCTTGCAGGGGAACAAAAGGACAATAACTATTCTTTCCCGAAGTCTCTTCTCTAATTCTTTTGTGCGTAACGTACACGTAAGTGTTCTAGTCCACCAAATTATGTCGAGGAGCTATTTCTAGGGGTGTTTAAAGATCTAATCTCAGCAAGAGTATTGTTTGTTTAACCACAAACATCGATGCAGTAGGTTGCAAGTAACATTGGTCATTTGCCATCAACAAGTCATTCACAAAATAAACAAATATATAGGATTATAAATAAAGTCCAGAAAATTAACGGTACAGCCGTTTCTATGTAGCTTACCACCTGTTTCACCAAAAGAGCGACCTGCTTTTGCGACACTATCTCGTTGTGTTTATTGTGAAAAGGCAATTGTTAATTTCTTTTGAATTTTATTATCGTTGCATATTGCCTTTGATTTGAAAAACGTAAGACTTAAAATATTCTTGCATTTAGCTATAATATTTTCAACTTAAATTCTTCTCTGATTAATTCATATTTTGAAATTGTTTAACTTCGCAAGGACTTTCAAGTGTCAAGCAATTAATGCTCGCAGTCCCAAAGCCTCGAAAAACGAAGTTCAATTCCGACAACATCTGGTGTTAAAAGTGCTATTGAGACATTCTATCGTCTAGTGTTTTACTTTGCACTTGATATATTTACTTTTAAAGATGCTTTAGGGTTCTTGTATAATGTTTGCGGTCTGATGTTGATGTTTTAGCTGTAATAACAGGTGTCACGTGATGCATTTAGAATATTAAGGTGTCAGTGTGGGCTAATTAAGCCTTAAGGAGGCTGTGTGAGCTAGACACCAATGCTAATTCAGCTACTCAAAACAACTTTGACCTACTTGTCAAACACATATATATATATAAAAATAAATTCTATCAATCATTCATACTAATTTTGTATTAGTTTGCATATGTTACAATATTGTTGTCTTTTTCATACGGATTAAATCGTGAATAATTGTCTGAAAAAAATTTCAAAACGTCTATTTTTTGGACGGAAAAATTCTCCATTGGATTTCAGTTGATTAAGATTAGTGATCTGAAAGTGCTCCCGTGGCTATATTAATGTATATTTATCTACTTAGTTAGCTATGGTTAACCATTGGAAATGAGCTTAAAATATATACTATGTACGCATAGATAATTTTTTCTTTGAATCGAATACCTTAATATCCATCCCTCCATCTTATCGTTTATTTTAATCAAAAACGGGTGAAACGGAATATATTACTTATGTGGCCCTCAGGGCAGTAAGTTATCGTATAAGATATATTATAATTCTTCCCTTATACGTCATTATTTTTATCCATCAAGGCTTACTTCTCGTTCTTGATGAAGTCCCCCGAGGGCTGACTTTATGTCGGAATAATGGCAATAGGTACACATGGCTCTGTAGATTGCAATTTTATAACTGTTCTCAATGTAATATTCATCATGTGATAATGTATACCCTTTTCAGGCAGATGGCAGACTCTTGCGGGACAAGATTATGTCATACTTGTTTGACAACTTGGATAAAATTACGCAGCTTTTGAGAAAATTGTATAATTATTGCGGTTTGCATATTAGAAATATTGTTTTTTAGACGATAGTAGTCTTTGCATTTAGCTTTCACATTTTCCTTTCTTTTATTCTTTTTTCCGTCCTTTACTTTTCGCATCAAAAATAATCTCATTTATATGAGATATAAGAGCAGTATTAATAATGGGAATTTAGTACTTGCCATTACTGAGTTGAAGTAAGTTTCGCTGAAAAAGCATCCAGATTGGTCTTTAATATATATAATATGAGTTATTATTTCTCATTGAGAATTTATCCGTAAGTTACAGCTCCTCGAGATCTTGTTACTAGTGAAGGTGACAGTCTTCTTGTTGATACTTATGCCTTTCCTCTGTCAATCACGATAAATTGCTCCTTGAAGTAATGAAGCTAGAGAGTTTGATTGTGACGTCCGTAACACCACAGGGATCCCACTTGTGGTTCGTCATTGACAAGCAACCCGCTCAGAATTCCCAATAAAATGTATCTTTGCGGTTAAAATTATGATTTCTTAGATGTGTGGGCGTTTTTAAAAATATCGCTGAAGATTAGCGGATGAAAAAGGAGCACTCCGACCATCATTGCCCGATTTCATACCGTGGAAGACTGGGTACAAGTTCCTGAATTGGCATGATAGATTAATACGACGAAAGAACGTATTGAGAAATACTAACTGTCCGAATTTGGCGTTGGCCAGGCCACTATTCAACAATTTACGGCCTTTCGAGTTTTCGAAGAAATGTATAGAATGCCGGACGCTGCGTCCGAAATTTTCTAAATTCGCCATACAGTCCTTTGTAAAATGTAGAATTTTTGAAAAGCTTCCAATCCTTTACATTTGATGTGATTAACATCAAACTTTGTGAGTTTCTTATTTACAGTGCGATCTTTCGTTCACCATCGTGCGAAAGTTAAGGGAGTTGTATCCAGTCACCCCCGGTATGAACTCGTGCAATGAAAGATGTTCCGTACGAATATGAATTTTGTCCTGTGTTGTAAGTTTTATCAGACATCCGCCATCTTGATTGATACCTTTGTCAATACCATGATCACTTTGCCAGAACATACCAACGTAGGCCAAATGAGCACTGCTTTAATTAATATTCACAACTCTACCGGTAATTTTGCACAGCACAATGCTGTTTATCTTTTTAGTGTATCAGTAAAAGTGTCCTAATGAATTCGCGTCATACCAATGAAATTAAAAAAAGTCGAAATTGATCGTTTTCAACCATTGCCATGAGATTCAAAAGATAACAGACCGGCGGCCATGTTGGAGGAATTAAAAATAGATACTAATGATCTAATGAGAAATCCTTTGTTGAAGTTTCTCCCAAGATGGCAGCTGTGACGTAACTTGAAACGACGAGACACCTTTGTGCGACTGAATTCAACTAGACTTTAGATAAGATGAAGCTCGCGTGACATTTACCACGTTTTCTTTTGATAGATTGTGGATTGATTTTTTGACTATTGTAAATTTAAAATGGTTGCAAGTTTGATGTAGCTTATAGACCCCTTGCTCTCTATGGGAATTCAGCTCCAACTAGTCGAGGACAAAACAATAACTAACAATGTATTTTATTTTCCAAGAGGGTAACAGATGAAGCTGTTTTTGCGTTCAATCATATGCCACAACCTTGCACGTTGGTGATGTTACGTATAGACTAGAGGGTCTAGAGTCAATAGATATCCCCAGGCATTGCACGCCCCTACTAACGTACACTTGCTGAGACAGATGACCGCAAAACCGCAAAGTAGTAAAAAAACAACTGACCTGGTTAATCTAGAATGGAAAACACAAAGTACGTTTCGTTCCACTACGTTTAATAGAGAATCGAATATTCAAGAGTACGCGAGTACTACGTGAGTACCACGTCACTACGTTTACGTACGTTTCGAAAAATTACGCTTCACGCTAGCCTGAATATCAAGCTCTCTGGGAGAAAAACAGAGGGCCCCCTCGAAGGCAAATGACTATTTTGTCTTAATTAATACTGAGCGAGTCTGTTACTACTGTGTTTCAGTGGCTTTTACAGTAATTGACGGAAAACCCTTTGTTTTCTACAAACAAAAGCTAACACTACTGTCGATAATTTTTCTGATTTGTGGAAGAAAGATTTTGATCTAGGTGCTATTCAGAAAAACAACGGGTTTCGTCTAGATGTTCCGGGTGTGCACGACGCCATGGATCCGCCCGCCATTGCCAATGGACCCCAGCAAACTTCTCAATGTCAAGTTTCTTACTTAGCGTCTTTCCTGTTATAGATGAGTTATTGAAATATCTTTGTTTTCTGAAAACAAAAGCTAACATTATAGTCGATGATTTGTTTCTTTGTGGAAGAAATATTTTATCGAAGTGCCATTCAGAATAACTGCGGGTTTCATCTAGACGCCCTACATGTTCCGGGAGTGCACGATGCCACGGATTCCAATCCCCAGCCAACTTCGCCATGTCAACTTTCTTAATAATTAGTCAGCGTCTTTCCTGTTATAGATGAGTTATAGAAATATCTTTGTTTTCTGAGAACAAAAGCTAACAATATTTCTGATGTTCTTAATTTTTTCTTTAACTTGTGGAATGAAGATTTTGAATTCAAAACTTGTCAGAGATGATGAGTCGTCCGCGGTCGGAAAAAAGGTTTAAAAATCAATCATACTCCTTTGAAACTTCAAATAAAATTATTGATTATTTTTTGCGTTTTCTTGCTTATCAATAGAATATTGTTTCTATCATAAAAGCAGATAAAAGTCTTTGTATTTATCATTAACCGTCAGTTTACCACGACTGGAAATTTTTCTCTCCCGTGGTTTTTCAAAGGCTGAAAAATCATTAAAATTAGTGTATTAGCTTTCTGTCAAGTAAAAATATAATGAGTCCAGTTAAAATATGAGTCAAGATAAAATGTTTTCGATTGCCAGCGAACTTTGCGCCCAAGCGTGACGTGACGCATAGTCACGCACGAATGCGTTACATAAACATTTATTATGAGCATGCTCTCTTCTGATGGGCGTCATCTTGGGTTGTTCTCGAACAGAGTGAACCAAGCTAACAGTTTTCAGTGTTTGTGAATCCAAACTCCTTCTTTTTCTTCTTCAGCAGAAAAGGTAGGGCTGGAATTGTGTCTTGATTATATGATCGCAAAAATTATACCTTTCCTAGCTTAATTTCGGTGCTTTTGGTTTTTCGCTTGGTGCGTGTTTGAAAGTAACTGCTGAGATCAATTGCTATCTGCTAAACAGTGCGTTATTGGTTTGATAGTTAAAAGAACCTTTCCACTCAATCATGGATGAGATTAGAAGAAGAAACAACTCCAGAAATCCCTACAGGGACTACGACTTCGACGCTGTCGATACGAATATGTTTTACTCGCGAGCTCTGCCACCTCACGTGAAAATCGATTGGAAGCGACCTTGGGTAAGTTTGCCTTGCTCTTGCAACTAGTAAATCTTGGAAAACAAAGGGATTTGACGTTGCTGGGATTACATGTCCATATGAATTAAATACAGTGTTTTCTCCGTTGTCTGCATTGACTTAAAGACCCCAAATGATAGCTAAAACAACACACAGACTGAGCCCCAGCTATTAATTTTCATTGATAACCGTGCGTCTATGAGATTTGCATAATGTTGTCGGCACGTAAACATTTTTCAGTAACAATTATGACTTCGTTTTATATTCTGTTAAGATAACTTGATATTACTAAAAGATAGCAGTTTATTTGCCTTTCAACTAAAAAAAAAAGCACTCGACTTTCTATTCTTGTTTGCACGTAGTCTGGCCACATATGGGCAATTATTAATGAATTTAGGAGCCCGGCAAGACCCTAGTTGAACGCAAATCTGTAGCAAGTATCGCTTTACGATTTCAATCTTTTGCACTGTGTCTGCATATGTCATGCAAATTCAAGTTTTCAATGCCCAGGTCAACTTCGAAATGACATCCCAGTTACTGGTCGATTAAGCTCATTTTAGTATTTCATTTGTTTTTACTTAAAAGGGTGTTGAATGTGTCAGCTTTTGTGTTCAATTGCTATTTCAATATTTTTTCCCAAATACGACTCTCTTCCGAAGCCTATATTTCACTTAAAATGATATTATCGTGCTATTATTTTGAATATTTTTTAACTAAATACTAATTAATAGTTCTGTTTCGTATGGGGTATTCAAAATAAGAGATATCAATGTCATTCTCAAGTTTGTTTCATGATTAAAACCAATAAAGTGTTTTAAAAAGCCATTTTAGCGTTACTTTCAAAAGCTATTTATACAATTAGGAGTGGTCAACAGTCATTCTTTAAATTTCGTAGCATAATTAACCTCTGGCGGACATTGAAAATTCAAGAATTAACTAATATAAGAGACACATAAACAATGGTACAACGTTATGTAAAAGAAATTTTACCAAAACTGTAAAAATTACGTGAAGAAATACTCGGTGATTGTTAACTTCAAAATACATCAAAATCATAGAAGCATGCCAAATTACATTTAATGAATTCAAATCCGTTGAATGTTTTTCTTTGTGTAAAGTGAACAACGAATATTTTGAAAACAAAAGGAGAAAATTTGAATCGTTTATGTAATTTTTGTATATTAAAATTTATTTTGAAAAAAGAATTAGAAAATAAAACTCAAAACATGTGCAACTACGTTTAAAAAATGCACAAATTCTGACACATCTTGACACGAAATCTTGGTAGTTTTAGACAATTTTTTTCTTTAGAGGTTTTAATCGAAAAAAGGATATATTTTTCTTAAAAAGCAAGACAATTATTCTACTGTATGACCAGTAGTCCGCATTAAGAGAATATAATTTCATTATAAAATTTGACTAACTAAAGAATAGAGTACAAAGTAAATGTGTGCAACACTTTCCACTTTTTACTACAAAATAGTGTTAATCAAACAATAGAAAACAATAGAATTAGCATAATTTAGCAGTATTTATTGGTATTTATGTTGCACAGTTTTAGTGTTCGTACTCTAACATGCAAATTTATAAGAATATAGATTAAAATATTATGGCTATATCAACCATGTTGTGGTTAACATTTGACATGTCATTTTTATGTAACAGACAGCCAATATTCGTTTTGTTAATGATAACATAATAATTCAGAAGTGTACGTGTTCCGTATTTACTATATTTTCTTTGCACCTGAATTTCAAAGAGCTGGTATCCTACTTTATCAAAATAGGAATTCAGGGGAGAATTGATTAATATTTATAAAGATAGTCCATCCAAATATAATTAACTTAATGCCAGAACGTCTACCTTTGTCTGTAGCAAGAAATTTTTTATCATTATTCAATATTTCACCGTGCTAAGCGGAGAAAAAACAAACAAACAAAACTGTCAACAAAACAACAGCGAAAACGATAAGAAAAACAAAACCCAAGGTTATGGTTGAGTGGCATGACCAGCATCCACTAGACCTTGAACTTTTTTGGCAGTGTTTAGTTGGGTTAGTTTGAATCCTGCCAAACGTTTTGGCAAACAATATCACCTCTGCATATTACATAACTCCAAAGTTTATTCAATGTTCTACTAAGCTGTCCAAAAATTGTTTACTCCTCTTTTGAGATTAAACAGAATTGTTTTGCTTATAATAAAGTCGGTAATACAACTATTTGTCATAATGCGATTTTTTTAAAACAAATGTAATGAATTTTGAAAAGAAAGTAAGATGTTTTGGTTCTTATTTTAATATTCACTAATTATTTATAATATAGTGTTATTTTTGTTAATAATGCATCTTCCATCAATGAACAATAACATAATAATATTCTGATATTTATAACCATTCTCTTGTTTTTTCATTTTCACTTGAACCTACATGTATTTAACTCTAAAATTTTGAATTTAAAGATAGAAAAATTATGTATCCATCTAGAAAATAGACATTTTTACAAAGGTTGATTTGTCATTTTGTTAAATCAATCTACAGTATTTGTTTGTTTACATCCCTTGGTCTGATTCCCAGACAAGGAAATCAAGTTGTATCATTAAATTTAGAAATAGGCTTTACTCTCTCAGCGCCTCGCTATGGCGGTGTGTGCGAAGGTTTAATGGAGGGGGAAGGGGAGGGGAGGAGGCAACCTTTTTTATTTAATTGTGAAAAGGGAGAAGATTAATGGAGTCGCATGCTGGCTAAGTGGGTTGAGACTTCAAAAGTGATTTACTCCAAAATTGCTCCATTGTTATTTTGGATTCATGCCAAGGAAACAGTTGGACTACTCGAAATATGTACCCCATTGATTTGGCAAATAAAGTCTTGTTTCTCTTATCTCTCACTGTGGTCAACAACATTGATGCAATGGCCTAAATTTTGTAACATTTACATTGCCTTCACAACCTCACATGCTTGCACATGAAACAAAATGTTTACCAGCACACAATTCAAATTCCAATACTTAGTCACTTGACCCTGAGATGTTAGATTTGGTGATAAACTTAATGATATTCTCTCGTGCAAATGGCAGGAAAAAGTATACTTGCTCACTCATCTTTGTATTATTTTACTATATCTTTAGGAATTGGTTGACAACCCAAAATTGATTATTGGTGGAGCGAGCCGACTGGACATCAAGCAGGGTATGCTGGGAGATTGTTGGCTTCTTGCTGGTATTGGTGCTCTAACCCAGCATGATAAGCTCCTTAACAGGGTTCTCATTACCGATTATGTTGCTGATAATAAGGATCCTAACTACACTGGAGCTGTTAGGTTTAACTTTTGGCAGTATGGGGAATGGAAGGAGGTGATTACTGATGACCGTCTACCTTCTCGAAATGGAAAGCTTGTGTTTGTGCAGTCTGCTGAAAAGAATGAGTTCTGGTCGTCTTTACTGGAAAAAGCTTATGCTAAGTGAGTTTAGAGATTGTACATACATGTAATATGCTAGAGTTTTGCTACATGTGGAAGTAGGTGGCTGTTCTGAGAAAGTGTGAATCATAAGGAGCCACAAGCATTACAATTTGGACAAAGATGTCAGCCCAAAGGTCAAAAATGAAACTTAAATCTGTGATGCTAAGTGTAATTTAGATTGTCCAGTTTATCACAAGCACTATGGCCTGCATTTGTGGGTGTGTGAAATATTTAGAGGATGAATATCTGGCATTGTATATGCATTTGATTCAAATAGCATTATTATATAAGTATTACTGAAACATAATTATAGAATTGCCACTTGATTTTGTGTGAATTTATGGTAGGAAATAAGAGGAACTTTTTATTACTTATTTATTTAAGAGAATTATGATAACTGATTGCTAATAAGAGAGATTTTCAGCCTGTAATTTCCATAATAGTGATTATTTTGTTATCTAATCGCTCATCTAGGGTTCATGGAAGTTATGAGGCTCTCAAAGGTGGACAGACTGGGGAAGCTTTGGAGGATTTCACTGGTGGTCTATCTGAGTCATATGACCTTAAAAAACCACCAGAAGACCTGTTTGCAATTATGCAGAAAGCCATGGCAAGAAGCAGTTTGATGGGATGCTCTATTGCTGTGAGTGAATATTAAAATTATTGTTGATATGCTTTGTGCATTAACCAAAGTAACTATAGAAACCTGTTCCCACTGTCTGACGATGTGTGTATTAAAGGTTTACAGTCAGTTTCTTGTGCACCCCATTTCTAGCTTTTACTTGTTGATTTTGATATCCAAAGGATAGAAATGTATTTCCCTTGTAACGGACAAGCGTAGCAAGTGGAGAGCGAGAGAGAAATAATTCCTTAGCGACATAAGGACTGGGCACTATTGTTCACGTGACATTATGTAAATAGTAGCTGTGTATATAAGGATGAAGCAATTTCACTTATACTATCTTGTGGTCTAAGTTTGTGTTCATAACTTCATTTTTTATTTTATTTTATTATATCAAATGTACATTAGGCTTATTGAGAGAGTGGAAAGGGTGAAGAAGTTCACGTTGTTATGTAGTGGAGGTTTTTTGTAATAAAGAATATTGGTTGCAGGCTTAAACAAACCACTGCATACTGTGTTGTTCTAAGGAAACTGGAACTGTAGGAGTACTAAGTTTTCTTATTTTCAAATAGCTTATAATATGATCACACGTTTTATCCTTTTGTAGGCTAAACCAAATGAGATTGAAGCAAAAGGTGCAATGGGTTTGGTGAAAGGTCATGCGTACACTGTGACTGGTGTGCACACAGTAAGTCCTTTCTTATTTATGAATTAATGCAAGTCCTTTAACTATTTCCATCTAATAAAAGCCACATTTAAAAATTCAATACAAGTATTATGCTGATAGATGTAAACAAGATTAGTAAACTATCAAACTATGGAATATTGCAATTAAGAAAGCTTTTTGATTGGCTATTGAACAATGACAAAAACAATGAATGTGAGGACCGCATGGCACTATGATAGACACAATATAGAAATGAAAGAAAGTTATAGTGCTTAGAAGAAGGAGGCAATTCCAGGAGAAAGACCCTTAGGAATAAATTCGGAAAAATTAATTTCCGACCTCGCTGGGATTTGAACCCACGATCTTCGGATTTGTACTGCTGATGCTCTACCAGCTGAGCTACAAGGCCAGACTGAGAGCAGGTCGGGGTGAACAATGGCTTATTTATGTAATCATGTTTGCATCAAGAAAAGCAAAGAAAGTTGGTCTTGTGAGTCAAATTCGCTGATAGTCCAAGTCTCATGGACTTAGAAATCATAATCATTGTCAACCCCAGGCATTCTGGTATTGAATAAGTATTTTGAGATATTCTGTCCTCCATTGACAGGTGAACTATAGAGGTAGACCAACTGAACTTGTTCGTGTTCGCAATCCTTGGGGTAATGACAGAGAATGGGAAGGAGACTGGGGCGATAAGTAAGTGTCATTTAATTGATAGTATTAGTTTTTAAGAACTTTTAATCAATGTATGTATAATACAAACATGCTTACCTTAATTTCCAATAACACATCTGTTCCATAATTTTCCACTATGCACTATACTAGCTAGCCTGACTTCATGCTGTTGCAGCATCTAGTTAATACTACCTTAATCACTAATTTTTGCGATTTTGAAAAAGAGGATAAATTTAGTGCATTTAATTTCACGAAACTTGAAAAACAGACGGACAGACTTAAAAATCCTTTTTTATTGAATGATTACTTAAACAATAATCAATTTGCAATCAAGATTTTTATATAAAGACGTTAAGTGATTAAAGCAATTATAGAAGTGTATTAACTTTTGCATATTTAATTTTCGTACGTGGATCCTTTTTTCGCAAAATGTTTATTTCAAAACTTTTTTAAAATTGTGAAAATTGCAAAATTTAAAGCCTCACGGAAATTAGTACTAAAATAGTTATTTCAAGATTTTAGTGTTGCACTCAAGTGTTTATTCTGAAATAGAAAATAGACGTAGCATATTTACACTGTATTATATCAGTGTTCTCTAGTAGTGTTCATGAGTTGTCATTGACAGTGCTACCTCTCTATTTCAGGTCAAGTCAGTGGAGAGAACTCAACGACAGCGAGAAGAGAAAGTTGGGCTTGACATTTGAAGATGATGGGGAATTTTGGTAAGTTGTTGCAACTTTATAATGCTGCAATATGTATGTAATTGTACTAGTTCTCAGTAATAATGAAAGTCATTCTAAAGGTCTTTACAAGATAAATTATTTATTGAGACCTTTTGAGATTTATAGTCCAAATGGTGATAGGGTATGATGGTGTTATGAAAATAAACACTCTTTAAAAGAGAAGTCTTGATGAAGTAAAGCCAACATGCATGGCTGTCATTGCAAATCAGCTTGAAACCTTTGCCAAAATGACTGCCCTTTATTCTTGTAAACCTTTTTTGAATGTGTCTGTTCTCTAGGATGTCATTTAAGGATTTTGTCCACCACTTCACTACCCTTGAGATCTGCATGTTGGGAGGAGACAGTGCTGTGGACAAAAGCAAAGTTGCCTTTGAGTCACGAACTGAGCAAGGCTGCTGGAGTGCCGCTTCTGCTGGAGGTTGCCGTAACTACATCAACACCTTTGCAAGCAACCCTCAATACCTGTAAGCGCTCAAGTGATTGTTTTTGATTAAGTGTTGCGTGTAGAAATTAGAATCTACATTGATTCATTTGCTTATTTAACTCGGTTAGAATTAAGCTTGAAGATGCAGATGATGATGAAGATGATCTCTGCACCGTTGTGGTTGCTCTGATGCAAAAAGATCGCCGAAAGGAGAAGAGGAGAGGAATGAAGATGTTGACAATTGGATATTCCATTTACAAGGTTTGTGTACAAGTAGATTTGGGTCGAACACTGCCTTCAGAATGAAGCTTGTGATTGATCGAGACAACAAAAACAAAGAATTGTAGCAATGCCTCTCTTTGTTATGTCACTAATAGTCTTGACTGCTTTCTGTCCTCCTATGAAGAAAGTTTGATTTAATTTATTCTTTTGTTTGTAACCATTTCTCTATTCCACAATTTTCAGGAAGATCCTCAAAATCCAGGCAAAGAATTGAACAAGGAATTCTTTATGTACAATCAATCTGTGGCTAGATCTCCTTCCTACATCAACAGCCGTGAAGTGGTTGGACGTCACAAGCTCCCACCAGGCAACTATTTCATCATTCCATCAACTTTCAAACCTCAAGAGAGGGGAAATTTCATCCTTAGGATCTTTTCTGAAAAAGCTCACAAGACAGGGTAAGCCTTGATGTTGTTGTGTAATTTTAATTTGTATAATTATAATCCAGTGGTATGTATTGTCTTCTAAGAAGCCTATGTAGATGTTCTAGGTCCTCCCCTCCTCCCATAGGGAAAGATTCTTGTTTTCCCAAACATGGGAGGGTTGGGCAGCAAAAGAAGACTGGTTATCTTGTAAAACACTTTTCGCTTGCTATAAATTATTATTTTTAGTTGTATAATATTAATGTCAATTCTATGCATTGTATATACATTCTGTACAGCATTGACTTGGTTAATTACCTTTTCCATCAATAGCGAGGTAGATACATCAACATCCTTTACTTCAAGAGAGGACAGAAGGGTGAGTCGTGTTACAGAGCTGTGTCAGTTTACACACAAAATGAATTTGAATTCACATGTGGCATGGGCAGAAATGAATGGTGTTACGGAAATCTGATCATGAGCAAATAATCACCAGTTTTACATTTTTGTGATCAGTTTGCTCCAGATTTCTTCGTGCACAGTTGTGTCCTCGTTTTAGTTGTTTGTTTGTTTTTTCTTCTTCTTTTGCCATTCTATTCTGTTTTTCACACTTTGTCATAAAGATAAACGTCCATACTTTAGGTATTACAGCTATTAACTTTTAGAATGTTATTTCACAGGTTAAAATCACAAATGAACAAAACAGCAGTCTTGATGCTAAATTCAGGCAGATTTTTGATGATGTCTGTGGTGATGTAAGTAACCTTACCATAGTTTTTTTTTTGGTTGAATTGAGCGTAATTGTTTATGGACTGTTGTTTATCAAGGATGATGAAATTGATGCCTACGAGCTCCAGCGATTATTGACATCTGCTTTCAAGAAGGATCTTGGAAGTCAAGAATTCAGCCTAGAGTGTTCCAGAAGCACTATTTCCATGTACGATGTATCCTTTTCAAAATCAATCTTCATCTTCACTATTGATAAGTTATTACAGATTACAGTTCATAATTATCATAGTGTCAAAGGAAAGAGATGACACTTCGTATCACTTTGAAACTTTATTTTGCACACTTCAAAATTATTACAATAATTCATAAATTTATATAATAACTATAAATTTTAAATATAAACGATTTTTCACAAGGTCCTAAAAAGGCTAAATGGAAAGTTTTCTAGTTAGCTTTTGGAGATGTCAAGTCAATATTTCATGGAATGAAAAAAGTGGAATGTTAAGTAATTTCATAAGATCCTAAAATTGAATTTAAATAAGTGAAAGCACACTTGTTGACAAAAAAGGTATTTATTTAAATCATAAATTTTCTTAACAATTGTGAAGGAGGATTTGAGTGGAAAACTGGGCTTCAAAGAGTTCAAGGAAACTATCATGCAAGTCAAAAAATGGCAGGTAATAAACTATAGACTGTTTTACCAATGTATCCGCCATCTTGAATTTTGAACTGACATTACGGGATGTCCAGGCTGCAAAAGCTAATTGTGTCCAAGGTGTACTCTGAATAATAAATTGGTTGAAAATTTGAGTCTTTTATAACAATGTAATGTTACTGTTCTGTCTTGTTTTTAAGGCAATTTTCAATTCAAAAGATGCTGACAGGTCTGGATCCATGGATGCCTATGAACTCAAAAGTGCACTGCGTGAAGGAGGTGTGCACACTTAATACATCTAACCATCCATTATTCTATTTTATTATCCCATTATAGATACAATATAATATTTAACAATTAGACCTCGAGGTCGAGTGGACTACGAGCTAATAGCCCATGAGGCCGAGTCCGCGAGGCCGAATGGGCTATTAGCTCAGTCGTAGTCCACGAGGCCGAGAGGTCTAATTGTTTTAGTATAAACATACTAATCRGTCAAATAATGAAAACAAATTGATATATCCTTAAAATAAATTATAATTTATTTATTTTGTTTTTCCAGCGAGTGGTCTATCATAAATTAGACCATTAGTAGAGTAACCAATCACAGCGCAGTATGAGTGATAGTAGTATGTTTATACTAATCACGGTTATCTATCAGTACTAGCCTCAACTGAACCAAAACTTTTGTTATGATAGGCAGGCCAATCATTACAAGCTTCAATGTAACTGCCTTTAGATACAGTTTTGAAAAAAAAATCTTTAAGAAGTATTATGCAAAATGTGATAAAAAATGTTTTTTTTTTTTAAGGATTCCAACTCAGTAACAAGATTGTTGATGCTGTTGCAACACGATTTGCCAACAAGAGTGGTCAAGTCTCCTTGGATGACTTTATCCAGATTATGGTCCGCATGAATGTTCTCTACAGTGAGTATAAAATGTGATCTCAATGAAGGTTTGCACTGTCAACAGTAAGCTCTTGCAATCCCAGTGATCCTTTGCAATCCCAGTGATCCTTTGCAATTCCAGTAAGCTTTTGCAATCCAAGTGATCCTTTGCAATACCAGTAAGCTTTTGCAATCCCAGTGATCCTTTGCAATACCAGTA